TAACACGTTTTAATGATGATATATTTTCGGATTCCCCATCATTTGACGGTTAAATGACACTAAATCCAAACTGATTTGACTTAAAAATTAAAATTTGCAATGTAATACTGGAATTAACTACATAAAAGTCTTTCTTTTCAGACTGATTTTCTAATCGTTAGCAGAGAAGCTACTACATATATGTATTTATGACGCGTCTCAGGCCAAGAGTTCTCACTGGAAAAACATCCAAAAAAATTATTGTACAGAAAATTTAAAGGTAATTTATGAAAAAAACAGTGGGCATACATATGTATGAATATATATGCTTATAATGCATTACTAGAGCGAGATAAATGTTATCGGGCATAATCACGGCTTTCATTGAACCCATCGTAGTCCGAATTTACGAAAATGCTATCACTGAATCCGAATAGCTACGAACGAAGGAAATACTTTGAATGCATACATACGTTCGTATCAATTCGGATTCAGTGATCGCATTTTCATAGATTTCACAAAATTGTCTACGATGGATTCTGCGATAGCCCAGAATAACTAAAATGCCGCGATCAGCAACATTTATCCGGTTTTTAGTGAAAATTTTAAGCATGTAAAATATTTTATACTGTGATGAAACTTTGACCCAGCTCGCTTTGATATAACATGAAGAGAACTCTTTCCATTATCCAACGCAATTAATTTTTCTGACCGTTTTTTGTTCAACTCGATTTATTTCTATAAATAGATATATGATTTTTAATATATATATTTTTTTTCAGGTTTGTATATTTCAGGTCGACATTTTGTTAACCACGATGACGCTATATTTACAACAAAATTTATCAACAGATGCTTTGAAATAAAAAGGAATAAACAAATAAAATCTGTAAAAAAGGAAAGCTATAAATAAAGCAAATCAAGAAATTTTATTATGGGGCATTTTTTAATACAAATAACTAAAGAAATAGGATTAGGAGTTTTAAAATATTTATTTTCTCATATCAAATAACGAACGATGACATTCTAAGAAAGATCGTTACATGAAAACAATAGGGCTGTCATTTCAACCGTGTGCATTTTATTGTGAATTTACAAATACAACGAATATGCAAATCCAAAAACATATGCACAAGATCCTGAAAAGTCCTATTGATATTAATTGCTTCGTTGCCTTGTAAGATCCTGCGATAATGCAGCGAATCTTTTTTGGCGATCCGATTCCATCTGTTTAGCCAACTCCCACGCATCCTTGTGAAGCACATTTTTACCACGTGCAACGGCCAATAAACGTGCTAGCACTAGTAAATGATGAAGTTCTTCAGCATCGCGAATACTTTTGTTCTTACGCATTTCCACAAAATCATTTTGAATCATTTCACTCTCAGCTTCATTTACACTGAATTCTGTGAGCTTAGCTGTTGTGAGAAAGCGTCTAAATTGATTTAGACGTGTTGGGTTCAAGTAATGGTGCGCAGCCTTTAGCGACTCTTCTATAAGTTCAACAGTGTGCTCGTCATACTCGATAGGAACATAGGCGTCGTACTGCGGGGGAAGAATATTAAACCACATTTTATACATAGCCTGGTTTCAACAATGAACACTTACTGGTAGTACACTTTTCTTCTCGCTAAAACACAATATTGGTATGTCTACATCATATTCAATTTCATAGTACTGGAAATTGCATTTTAGCTGTTGATGCTTCATTACATGTCCCAGGATCTGCATAGACAATAGACCATTGCTGTTTAAGGTATCAGATTTAGTAAAGGTTTCGTCTATAACTAGATGAGTTTGTGGTGCCAACTGGAGCATGCCAGAGACTAATTTGTTGGTTTCATAATCTTTCCTATTGGTAAAATCAAATCAGTAAAGTTTTATTTCAAAAATGTTTACGTACTTTGGTCCAAAAGTTGAATCGTTCAATGTCTCTGCGGTCATTGTGATATAGTGGCTGGCGGGAATTAGCAAATCCAATAGGTTATACACTTCTTTTGTATATTGTTGTAAGCGACTCTGGGGTATATTGAAAAGATTTAGAAGAAACCTCCCAAGACATCGAGTTTCTGCTCGGCAATATCTGCGACAATAGGAGTAAATACAAATATTTATGTTAAGTTATAGAAAAACGGAAAATAACAAAGGCTACTTACACTGATGATATAAGATGTGATAGCAGATACTCTGCAGCCAAATTATCATTGAACAAGCACAGTTTTAAAAATACGCGAAACTCATTTCCTGTTGATAACATGTTAAAGTCCTCAGTTAACTCCAGGTTAACACTTTCTGCCACAGGAGATAGCAGCCTTTCATCCATCAAAGGGTTGGGATGTGGAAGACAATGAACTGCTATTGCATGAAGACGTGGTATCAGTGAAGGCGGCGGGTTTTGTGCTTGGATCTCATTAATGTTGTCGAAGGCATCAACATCCATCGTTGATGCGTCTAGTGCGGGATTTACAGACAGAAAACCCACCACATCAAGAATTGTATTCAATTTATATTTTTCGAAGTCATTATAAATTTTAATTAAGCAAGCTTTGCTAGGACGATTTGGTATTGGCGAGTTTAAATGATATTCCATACCAATAACTCCGCTTGAGCGGTTACCAGAGCAGTTACTTCCGGAATCAGCACTATCTAGTACCTCTGTTCGTTTTCGCTTATGAGCATCACAATCGGGACTCTGTCCGCCAGCAGATTCTATTTCAACATCCATACATTCGTGTTCTGTCGGCGCTGAACGCTTCTTTGCACCCTCGCCTGCCATTTCTGTTATCATTGGCTTAGGCAAATTGTAACGGCTGCATTGAGATTCATATTCATGACACCATTCGTTTAAACCAGGAATAGATATAACAAAGAAAGCACGGCGTTCACCATGAACATTCGTCTCCGCATCGTGATTTAAACGTTCCCCATCATTTAATAACAAACAATCTCGATATTTTCCTTCTTGAACTCTAGAGGTGTTATCCGCTTCTTTTGTAACTTCATATCGCTCCAAGTACATTTCGGGGTCTAGCATATCTTGAATCATGCCTCGAAATCTCACAATGCTCATATCCTTCAGCTCGTGCAAAGGAGTATAGTTCAGCAACGGAATTCCAGTCCACCGCTTTGGATCTTCCAACGATGTGACAAAAGCAGTTCCAGCTTTACTTGCCAGTTGCTCTGGTAAGAGATTCGCACTCAAGGCAGGCATTTTCGCTATTTAAAATTATAAAAACAAAATTTTATACAGGGGGCAAATACGCAAACCGGCAACAACTGCAGATGTTTTGCTTGTGTGTGATTGGCGCCAAGAAAAGGCACTTCAGCTGGCAACGCTAGTAAAAGCACTTACCTCACGACCCCACTGGCAAACACCGAATGCCTTCCAAATTTACTTTTGACAAATAGTTGCGAGCAATATGATTTCAAGTTTTTGTGTGTGGGCACTTTGATGCGTAAGCCCGCGGGTACGGGCCGGAATATTTGCTGTCAGCACGAACTCGTGCGTGCATGGGCGTTCAGTAAAATGTTATAAAAGCACAAATAAGCACGAAAAAGCCCGTTGCTAATACTACACATTTAGATAAGCTTTTGTTTTTATACAAAATAAAAATAGTACTTGTCAATGTTATTGTGGATTATTAAAATTTTATTTTTAATATTTTTATTGAGCTTTGTACCACGATTGTTTATTAGGAGAAATTGAAAAAGCAACAAAGTCTAAGAGGTAGAAGTTATATCAGCTATTTCGGAGATCACCACATCTCCTCAGGACGTGGTTATGCCACCAGTTTTAATTGGCAATCAAAAGAAAAACAATATTAAAAATAAAAATAGTACATATTTAAAACTCTTTTGATAAGAGAAAAGGAAAGAAATAAATATTTGGGAACGGATAAAAAAAATAAGATACTTAAGCGTGTGTGAATCGGTAACAAAGTTCGCGTCGAGGAAATTTTTGACAACTATGAGGTGAATAAAATTTCAGTATCTCATGAGGCTAGTAAAATTTTTGACAAATGCATAGAAAATTTTACAATCGCAAGATTGTTGATGTGTGTAATTTTTCGTTAAATAAAAGCTTAAATTGATGAATTGCAATCAACGATGGTAGATGTTTTCTTAAAATATTAAATTCACTTCAACTCCACAGGGGAACACCGATGGCCTACCAACTGTCATTTTGACGAGCAATGTGATTGCAAGTTTTTGTGTGTGGGCACTTTTATGTCTTGAAATAAGCATTTGCCGCATGACGCCACCAGACAACATTCTCTCAATTTCGGTGTTTAAAAACATTTAAATCTTTAAAAAACTTGCTGAATAATTTCCTAAAACGCAATCATAAATAATCCAGTAGGGAACAGATTTTTATTTTGATTTAATATCAAAATTTCATCGATGTTTCCCCCAGCTCGCTTTCTTTCAAATGAAAATATGGCTGTCAAACTATCGAATTGCCTGCAATAGATGTCAAGCAATAAGCGCTGACATATATTGCAGCACATGAGAAATAGGCGGTCTCCATTGGAAATATATTTTGTGACATGGTTATCACGACATCAGTGTTTTCCTGTGGAGACAGGGCCTTAAGTTCGACAAGCCTCTTGTGTGATGTATTTCACCCTTTAAGTAAGTTATCGACGCGTTATTTTATCGGCCGAAAATTAAATATCGATAAAATATCAACAAACCTATTTTCCAAGTAAATGTATCCTGTGAATAGAGAAAAATGTGAAAATTGTTTGCCGGTTTCTTGTTAAATTAATAAATAAATTACAGCCATTTGAGGAATTATAGAATAACAAGTCTGTACATATATAACTTACAATGATGGCGAGACGGGGCGGAAAACGAATTCGTATGAATGATCCTCCTCCAGAATATGAAGAACATGGGTGAGTACGAATGCCAATATATTTTATAATTTTTATTTTTATTACCATATTCTCGGGAGCAATTTTCTAATTTAATAACATAGTAACATACTCACGATAGAAGAATGAAAACGGTTGGCTCCTCGAAACTTACAATCTACAAGAACTTTTCATGGACATCTGTATTGATGTATCAATCAATTAATCAATATATGAACGGACCACTTGAGTCATCGCTCAATCGCTCGTGTAAATGGTGATTCTGCCTTAAAGCAGACAGCAAGGGGAATGTTTAATTATTTGCCCGCTGCTTTTGGGTTAGTGGGCGGAGGTAGGGAGGGCGTGAGTCTTGAAACCCACCCACTATAAAGAGCACAGTTTAAACTTTTTAAAAAGGGTAATTATCTAGTTGGGCTTTCAACCCCCAAAATTTTTTGTTAGTAACTTTTGATCGGGTAAAAACAGTTAATTTCCGCTTTCGGATCTTGTTATTGGTGACCAGACGCGTCTAATGGTACCCCCTTTCCAAAATTTTGACCAATTTTGGGGGTTGAAAGCCCACCTAGATAATTACCGTAAAAAGTTATACCTGACCCGTCCAACCCTGCCACAAACCCCTGGGGTACCGTTTGAAAATGGGGTAAAATTTTGATTTAGACAAAATGTATACTCGGGTTACGCCATCCACAGTATTTATGCAGAACACATCCGCGGTGGCGGCCTTTGGCCGTGATTAGAAAAAATAACCCTCATCATTCCAACGCCGTCTACGCTGACCACAGTATTTTTTGCGCATAACACCTTTCCGCGTTGGCACCGTTTAGAAGAAATAACCCTCAAGAGTCCTAAAAGTAGATATGGCAAACAGACTTCATTAGTAACCGAAAATTACAATACTAGGTTCTTTTTTGGGGGTTTTAAAAAATGCAACATTATTTCGAGAAAAGAAACCCCTATTAGTTAAACTCAGTTTAAATTTAAACTAAGTTTAAACTGCTGATCCGCTTCATAGTTTAGTTGTTATGTAGAGCAACACTGTTTTTAAGAAGATATTGAGGCCTCCTCACTCCCACAGGGACTGAAGCGATGGTCGGCGAATTATATGAGTGGTCGACAGTCGCCAGTAATCTTCAGAGATCAAACCTCGAAACCAAGAAGAATTAAACAAGAGGTTCCACAAGGTGGTGTTCTCTCCCCCTTATTATTTAACTTCTACATCTCGAAGCTTCCCCAGACACCTGAGGGAGTTTCCCTGATCTCATACGCTGACGATTGCTCGATTTTGGCGTTCGGGAATGGAATTGATGACCTGCTCAAAAGTAAACGACTATCTCTCCACCTAGGGACTATCTCTCCGACTAGGGGTCACCTTCGATAGCCTTCTCTCCTACTCCATGCACACAACCGCAGTTGTCAACTAAACTATGCTGCGCCAGTTTGGAGGCCAGGGACTAGTTGGACGCAGTGGTCGAAGCTACAGACATGTAAGAACGCCGCACTCCGGACAGCGACTGGGTGCCTTCTGGTGCCTGAGCACCACCTACACAGCGAGGCCCAAGTGCTCCCCGTAAGGGGGGGGGGGGTGCCACAGAAGCGAACACCCAAACAGACCTCTGCTACAGGAGGAGCCTCCGCCCGGGCACGTCAGGGGGCACCTATTCGTGTACAAGGACGCAGTCCAGCAATATGTAGACCAACCACTGGATCCGACGACACACAGACGAGAGACACTAGAGGCCTTGCTGTTCCCGTATTTCACGAACCACCTGACCCCAGCGAAGCATCAGCATGGTTTCCGTAAAGGGTACAGTTGCAACAACAGCACTTAACGCTATAAACACTCAGAAAAAAACACGTGGCCGTAACCGCAACCGTCGCTGTGAGAGAACAATTCTAGTAGCGTTGGACCAGTCAAAGGCGTTTGACACCGTCAGCCACTCCACGCTACTAGAAGATATAGAGGTTTCCTCTCTCCCACAGAGGCTAAAACGGTGGTCGGCGAATTATCTGAGTGGTCGACACTCGTCGGTAAAGATTAGAGACAAATCGAGCAAACTTAGAAAAATAAAACAGGGGGTTCCACAGGGTGGTGTCCTTCCCCGCTACTGTTTAACTTTTACATTTCAAAGCTCCCTCAACCACCAGAGGGAGTCTCCTCTTCTCCTTGTCTCCTACGCCGACGATTGCTCGATCATAGCGACTGGGAATGGAATTGATGACTTGTTACCGAAAGTAAACGGGTACCTCTCCGAGCTTTCTCGCTTCTTCACTGCAAGGAGCCTCTCCACAACGAAATCCTCTGCGACCTTGTTCACCACCTGAACGAAGGAGGTCAGGCTACCGCTGGGAATCCACGTCGATGGTACACCAATTCCCTCGGTGAATAACCCCAAAATACTCGGAGCAACCTTCGACAGTCTGCTCTCATTCTCTGTGCACGCAACCGCTATTGTCAACAAAGTAGAGAGCCGCAACAAGGTCAAGTGTGGTCGCCGGGTACTAGTAGGGCGCAGTGGATGAAGCTGCAGACGACGCAAAACACCGCACTACGGACAGCGACTGGATGCCTTCTGATGTCGCCTGAACACCACCTACACGACGAGGCGAAATTACTCCCGATCAAGGAGCATAATACAATGCTCTGCAAGCAGTTCCTTGTTGGGAGCCATAGACGTGGTCACCCAAATGGGCAGCTGCTTGCAGAAGAGCCCTCGCCCAGGCACGTCAGGAGGCATCTCTACGAATTGACGGACATTCCCACGACAGCCGGTTCTACGTACCGGAATGACTCGGGTTTTACCCGACCAAGGGCTGTTGTTTCGGCGATCTAACCCCGTTTAGGTCGGCGAAGTATCTCAGAAGTTGTCCGTCCATAGGACTACATTCACTACGTATTCTCCTACTCAGGGCTGGCATCGAGTCAAACCCAGGGCCAGAAACCTACACCTGCTGTGTATGCCGGAGACGATTACACCACAACTCCACCTCAGTCAAGTGTAATGCCTGCGAGGGGTGGAGTCACCTCAGAGTCTGCTCGGGACTACGGACACATAGACAGTGGACCACGTCGTACGTGGCCCCCTGTTTCTAAAACAGAGCAGCCTCCACGGCTAACCACCGTCCGCCCGAGCAGCCTCACACACTCACACAGCAGCCTCACAGTCACCACAACACAACAACATAATAACACCACAGACCGTACCACAGCCACTACAAACCACATAACACACACAACCGCACCACCACCCACACGCCGCCGCCAACAACTCGTGGTTCCCCCTACAATCTGCACGGTATGTCAGACCAGGATATTCCGTAATGTGACATCAGTCAAGTGCAACACCTGCCTTGGCTGGTGCCACTTTAGGGCATGCTCAGGTCTGCGTACCACGCGAGATTGGACTGGGAACTTCGAGGGCCCGTGTTGCGCTGCTCGGTCGCAGACCCCGATTGCGACGCCCCCCGCCACCACCACAGGGCGGCAATCACCACAGCAGCACACACAGCCAACGGCGGCAAGAACATACACTTCACTTACACCCCACATCACGACACGTCTCCCGAACCACATGAAGCTCCTTCAATTTAACTGCAACGGGCTACAGAGCAAGATTGGGGAGATAACCGTCGTCATGTGTCGGCATGGTATGGGATCGGAGAAGTTAAGCGGTTGAAGAGCAAACCGAATACATTTCTTTTGAACTTTTTCAATTCTACTAGCATGACAACTATAAATAAGGTTCCAAATAATCGAGGCATATTCTAATTTTGAGTGAACCAGCGAATTGAAAATGATCTTTCTGGTATAGGGGTCCCTGAAATCTTTAGCATATCTGCGAATAAAAGTTAGGTTACTATACGCCTTCGGAAGCAAATGGCAAACGTGATTTACAAACGTAGAGCGATGATCAAAAACAACCCCCAGGTCATTAAAGTTCCTAACTATGTCAAGCTGATTATTTAGGATGCTATAAGATGAAGAAAAGGTATTAGCAGACTTGGATAGGGTCATATAAATTTAATTCTAATTTATTACTATGACTCCATCTAACAAGATTGTCTAAATCGATCTGTAGCTAGACGTGACATTCCACGAATTTGTTCTGCGAGATTCAATTTAATAAACATAAATATACTTCAGCCACATTTTTTTACCTATCTGTACGCGTTGAGGCCAAATGTACATTGCATGTATGTAGATACACATATTAAAATATTTTTAATACTTTGTATCGCACAGGGAAGTGTTGAATGAAAGTACATCAGATGGAGATAGCCCTATGAAACGAATGACACGTCTGCGTGCTCGAGGAGGAGTGCGTGACAAGCCGCCAATTATTGATGATGATGAAGACGACTTTTTTATACCCGTGGCACGTAAACGCAAACCGCCCGGAACACGGAAACCGCCTGGCGAACGCCGGGAGCGTGTGGAGAGACCTCGAAAGGAGCACATTGAAAAGGAACAGGAGCGTATTGATATGGAAAGAGATGTTACCACGGATGAAAACAGTTTATATTTCATTGTGCGGCATTCCAAATCGGCCATAGCGGTAAGTAAATATTGTAAACGTTTGGATTGCTTATAAACATGAGTATGTAAAACTGCTGTTTCAGAGTATTGTTGATGATTGGATTGAGAAATACAAACAAAATCGTGATTCTGCCTTAATTGCATTAATGCAATTTTTTATAAATGCAAGTGGTTGCAAAGGCAAAATATCTGAAGATATGCCACATCCAATGGAACACACTGCTGTGATACGCAAAATGACTGAGGAATTTGATGAGGTTGCGATTTAATAAAATCAGTTGTAATTTTATTTATGGTTTCTTTTGCGTCGAAACAGGAAAGCGGCGAATATCCATTGATAATGCCTGGGCAGCAATGGAAAAAATTCAAAATGAATTTTTGCGACTTTGTGCAAACTTTGGTAAAGCAGTGTCAATATTCTATCATTTACGATCAGTTCCTTATGGATAATGTGATCTCACTTTTGACGGGTCTCTCTGATTCGCAAGTGCGTGCATTCCGTCATACGGCTACTTTGGCGGCAATGAAGTTAATGACAGCGCTGGTGGATGTAGCATTGCTTGTCTCAAATAACTTCGAAAATGCTGCAAAACAATACGAAGCTGAGCGCGTCAAGGTATATTGAATTTTTTTTTTTTACCAAGTACTCAACATGCCCATATTTTTCCCCTCTAAAGTCGCGAGATCGCCGTGCTTCGGATCGGTTGGAGTCATTAATGACGAAACGTGCCGAGCTTGAAGAGAATATGGATGAAATTAAAAATATGTTAACATATATGTTTAAATCCGTATTTGTGCATCGATATAGGTAATTTACAAACATGCTTTCGAAGTTTTAAATTAATTGAGTCGATTATGTATAGCAACGCATCTTCAGTTGGGTTGCCGAAGTGCAACGCCACTGCACTAAAAATTAATATTATGCATAGCAACTAAGTTAATACTTGCTTTTAAATTGAAGATAAGAGAATTTTGAGGTACCAGCAATCACGGCTTGAGTGCAAATAAGCTGCAGAAACAGTTGAATATAATTATAAATTTTCTCAATCAAAATTTCTCCGGCAAGCACAAAAATGCAATGGCAACGCTACTGAAGTTTGGTAGCGATCCGTAATCGGCCCTTAAGATTTGTTGTAAATAAAATATTTTCTCAGGGACACACTGCCGGATATACGTGCAATTTGTATGGCGGAAATCGGCGTCTGGATGGAAAATTATCCACAAAATTTCCTCGACGACTCATATCTAAAATACATCGGATGGACATTACATGACAAGGTCGGTGAAGTCCGCCTTCGGTGCCTGCAAGCGCTACTACCGTTATATGACAAAGAAGAACTGAAGGGAAAACTAGAGTTGTTTACTTCGAAATTCAAAGATCGTATTGTTGCTATGACTCTGGATAAAGAATTTGAGGTGGCAGTACATGCAGTTAAATTGGTGATCAGTATTTTAAAGTAAAAAAAAAAAAAATCAAAAATACTAAATTGTGTTATATTTATGTGAATTTGATAATTTTTTCTTGCTCATAGAATCCACCCTGACATTTTGGCCGACAAAGATTGTGAAATAGTCTACGAGCTTGTATATTCATCGCATCGCGGAGTAGCCCAGGCTGCAGCCGAGTTTTTAAATGTACGACTTTTTCACTTAACTGCCGATATGGAAGAGACAAAAACGAGACGTGGTAAAATACGGCTACCAAATACACCCCTAATACGAGATTTAGTACAGTTCTTTATTGAATCTGAACTGCACGAACATGGTGCCTACCTGGTGGACTCCTTCATAGACAATAATGCCATGGTCAAAGATTGGGCTTGTATGACCGATCTACTTCTCGAAGAGCCTGGAATTAACGAAGAGGTGCTAGACAACAAGCAGGAGTCAACACTTATCGAAATAATGGTTAGCAGCGTGAAGCAGTCAGCGACAGGTGAAGCGCCCGTTGGACGCGCGAGTAATCGTAAAATTACATTAAGTTCAAAGGAGCTTAAGGCAATACAAGATGAAAAAATTCGACTGACTGAACATTTTATTATAACACTGCCGCCTTTATTGGAGAAATACCAGGCGGACAGTGAAAAATTGGCAAATCTGTTGGCAGTGCCACAGTATTTTGAATTGGACATATATACCACAAATCGACAAGAATCTAACTTGCAGGCTTTGTTGGATAAAATGAGTTACATAATGTCTGTACATACGGACCGAGAAGTACTCGAGACCTGCGCTAAAACACTGGAGTACTTATGCAGTGAGGGTAGTGCGACATACACTCGCTGTGATGTAGCCCGGTCGAATATTATTGACAATGCGGTTAATAAATATAAAGATGCCATTGATGACTGGCGAAATTTGATTGCTGGTGAGTGAATGAATAAACAAGGTTAAAATTAAAATATTTAAAAAACATTTGTGTGATAAAAATCGCATATATACCGTCGCATTCATTTCAGGTGAAGAGCTACCCAATGAAGATGAAATCTACAATGTGACAATATCACTCAAAGTTATTTCCATCTTGTACGCTTCTCATAATCTCAATATTTGGAGTTTATTTGATTCAATATTCCAAGACGTGGAAGAATGCCAGTCGAAAGAGAATCCTGGGCGCACTTTACCCAACGAAGCGTTGGTCTATTGCATCGAGGCGTGCTACTTTTCGATAAGTTGGGGCTTATACTTTGTAGAAAATCAATGTGAAAGCAGTAATATACCTGTTGTATGCGCTGAATTGCGTGACAATATGGTTAAATACATGGCAGCATGTATCGAACTAACACGTAATGGACCATCGGAACAAATTCAAGAATCGGTCAGTGTATTTATTTTATGTTTACTCACCAATATTTGCAACGAAAAATTGTGCATCTATATGTTAGGCCTACCAGTCTGTATGTGATCTTCTGATAGTATTTTCGGACCAACTTTCTAAAAATGAAGATGAAAATATACGCGCCTTGGAGTATAAGTCAACACTGGACGAACAATTAATTTTAAATAATTTTATCCAGCATTATGTTTTTACAATCAAACCAGAAGGTATCTAGGAGCTTTTAATTTTTTTTAAGTTAAAGTGCGTATATTTCATTACAGTTGTTCAAGACGAGACACGAATTGAAGAATTACACAAAAAACGTAACTTCCTGGCGTCCTTCTGCAAATTGGTTGTCTACAATATAATACCCACAAAGAGTGCAGCTGGAATGTTTAAACACTACGTGAAGGTGAATATAAAATTTATATAGCTTGCAATAAATAAAATGAAACTTATATTTTTAGTGTTACAATGAGTATGGCGACATCATTAAAGCCACACTTGGAAAGGCACGTGAAATAAATAAAGTAAACTTCGCCTTGACCTTACTGCTCAGCTTGATTGCTGTTTTTAAAGACTTGCAGCAACAGTCTGAGAATAGTGTAATTTCAAAAAATTCACATGAGTTCTCTGACCTTAAGGAGTTGGCCAAACGTTTTGCACTGACTTTTGGGTTTGATGCTATTAAGAACCGTGAACAGGTCATCGCCCTGCATCGAGCTGGCATACTTTTTGCCGTCGGTGATATACCTGAAGATCCAGTAGCAGCACCTACACGACTTTTATTCCTTGAAGTGTTAAATGAATTCAACAACAAATTGCTAAAACAGGATAAAAAGGTTATATTGAATTTCCTCGATCGCCGAATATCGCCGGGTATGCCATCGAGCAGAGCGGAAGAATGGCAACCGCTTGTACTGTATAGGAACTCCTTGCTGCATGGTGAAACCGATCAAGCGCCTGTGGCGAAGCGGGCTTATGCGCGAAAGCGAAGGGAACACGGTAGTGAGACTTATTCTTTTGAAGCTATAAATTTTGATTATTTAAACGCGAATTCCATGCAATTTTTTCCCTTTTTTGTTGCTTGAAAACGAATATAAACGTTCATTCATATGGAATTCGTAATAAATAGAACTGTTAATAATATTAATTATTTAGACAATTCCTAAAGTAAATTTGCGTTGCATTTAATTTTCAGATGACGAAGACGAAGAAGAGGAATATGAAGAAGACCATAATGATGCCTAATTTTAAGTTAGTAGTAATAGTATTTTAAGAAGTAGTTTTTACATAAATTCCACTATTACATTGGCATAAAGAGAAATAAATATAATTTTTACGCGGAGATACACTATTTGGTTTATTCATATCTATTATCACTTGCAAATGCTTGTGAACGAACTTCCACGTTTTGCACAATCGTAATACACTTTTGGGCCCGCTGTGGAGATATTCGTGAAAATGTGTTTATGGTGCAATTGTATTGTACACATGAGAGGAAAACTGTTTTTTCTAAAAATAGACCCGACTGGTGGCGTTAAAGTCTAGATTATTTCGGCCTATGCTGTGTCATCATCGTCAGTAGAAGTGGCGATACGGCCATCGTCCGCAATTTTACTGATGTGCTGACGATAGTCGAATGTCCGAGTCCTTAGTGGGAAAAGTGTCTGTTGTTGTTGTTGTAGCGGTTACCAAGCCTCGTTCGGGTTCGGTTCATCCGTCAACGTTGTCGTCTGTTTCAGCTAAGGGGAGGCCCAGGAAGTGTGCAACTTCCACAGGGGCTGTCCATAAGGACAGCAGCGTCAGCTGGGTGGGGTTCTGAGGGCATGTGAAGAGGTGCCGAGAGTCGTGTGGCGACTCTCCACATGCCGGGCATTGGTTGGGCACATCCTCATTAATTCTGCTCAGGTATGAGTTGAGCCTGCTGCAATAGCCAGAGCGAAGTTGGGCTATTGTGGTGTGGGTCTCCCGAGGCAGACAAAGCTCTGTCCCGTCCACGTCCGGTGGTTGTGTGCCTAGAACGGCATTCACAGGGCGGGAGTCTACATAACTCGAGACTGTTTCCCTGTGAATGCCGCTCAGGGCCTGTCGGTAGGATGACGGGTCTGGATTTCGTCCGTCGGTTCGTAAAGATTCCTCCTGACGTGCCTTGGCGAGGGCTCTTCTGGAAGCAGCTGTTTGCTGGGATGGCCACGTCTGTAGCTCCCCGCAAGGAATTGCTTGCAGAGCATTATGTTATGATCCTTGATTGGGAGCATCTGGGCCTCGTCATGTAGGTGGTGTTGAAGCGTCATCAGGAGGCATCCGGTCGCTGTTCGTAGTGCCGTGTTTTGGCAGGTCTGTAGCTTCATCCACTGCGTCCTGCTAGTCCCCGGCGACCAAACGGGCGCTGCATAGTTTAGAACCGGCCGGCCAATTGCCTTGTATGTTGCCAACAACGTTTTTTTTATCTTTGCCCCAAGTGCTGCCGGCCAGCGGCTTGAGGACGGTCGATGTCTGCTTCAATAAGACTGTCAATAATGTTCAATAAGATTGTCTCGCTCGCAATCTCGACGGTGCACGTTGAATCCGGCGCAATTCAACAAGGTTGAATTGCCATGCAACTTCGTCTCTTGGACCGCAGCTATTAATATTCCATGCCTTCCCATAAAGATAGTTATCTCCTCGATCTTGCTCTGGAGTCCCTTACAGTTAAATTGTAGCACCTTTGTGTGCCTTTGGAGACCGATTGTTATGTGTGGTGTTAATGAGTTGTGTTGCTTGCCGGCTCCCTGCTGTACGTGCTGCAAAAGGGGTGCTGCCTTGCCACAGGCATTGCACCTGACCGAGGTGGAGTTTGTGTGCAGTCGTCTCTGGCATACGCAGCAGGTGTAAGTTTCTGGCCCTGGGTTGGACTTAATGCCAGCCCTGAGCAGAAGGGTGCGAAGCAGATATAGCCCTAGAATAGAGTAACGTTTGACGGATTTCGCCGACCTAAACGGGGTTAGATCGCCGTAACAACAGCCCTTGGTCGGTTAAAACCCGAGTCATTCCGGTACGTAGAACCGGCTGTCGTGGGAGTGGGGAAAAATGCCTCTATCCTGCTGGTTGATATCGCCGGGAAGGCTAAAGCTGATGCTGTCTTGCAAAACCCCTTCCGGAGCTTTTGCTTTCGCTACCCTTAAAAGGGCTTCCAGAAAGGCATTTGTAGGACGTACTTCAGAAGACCTTTTGCCAACTGACGGCAATTGGAAATACTAAGTAAAGGCGCGTATGTTTCTTCGAAACATTGACCCACCACTTGGAAAATATAAAGCAGAAAGTTTACTCCTGCATCCCATTCCTGGGATATTTCACACTTCCAGCAATGGTTTCCAAGTTTTTTGAAGGGACTAAAATTTATTACAACTCCACAAGCAAAGAACCAATCGATTTATAATCTTATTATCCATTTACGGTAAAAAAAATTCACGAGCTTCGCAATAAGCTTCCGTTACTCAATTAAATTTATGTATGGCGACTGATAGCCGTTAGGCAACCGTATACTAAAATTCGTATTACGTATGGCAACTGACTACTGACTGTCGGCAACCGAGTCTAGTAGCGCAATTTTCTGTTTCCAGCTTATTACGATTTTTTATTTGTTTACATAAATTGTTAAACACATTAGAGCAATGTTGCCAATAACCTCTTAATGTACATCCCAAAAAAGTAAATTCGGATGTTATCTCCGCTTTTTTGTATACTGAGATTAATCGCTATACATAATGCAAAGCACGATATTGGTAGCCTTGGCTACTAGACCGGCAATTAGACACCAGTCGCCATACATAATAGGGCCATTAGTTAGAATGCTAAATATCCCAGTAGATAATTTCACGAGTTAAAAGTCCTTCCTGAGAGTCAAGGGGCCTTCTACTCCACATTCCTTTCTCCTTTCTTTTTTGTAGAAGGGCTATTATAGGACGTACTCCAGAAGGCCTTTTGGAGGAGTTCTTTTAAAGTTGCTTCAATTTATAAAAATCATACATCTTTGACGTATTTGCTTAAGGTTTATATCAAATATGTGTTATTTCAACTTAAAATGTTTATTGAAATTCATTTGTAATGCTAAATAATATAAATTTATGCATTCGCGTAAATTTTAAATGGATAAGCCCTTCTAGAAGGCATGTAAGGAAACACTTTTTGCGGCCCTTCTTGGGTAGACCGCTTAGAATTGGTTTACCTAAATTATCTTCTGGGATGTAGGGTGGAGTGAAGCGCGCAGGGTTGGATAGTAGCAGATAAATTTGAGTAACATTTATGCGAATAGTACTTTATTAATTTAAGAATAAATGTAAAATCACAACAAAAGGCGTTTAACCGCAAAGTTATTTGCTTTTGTAATTGCTTCTTCTAATTGTTCTTCGAACTGCGTTGACACTTTTTTACCTTTCATATTGCACACTTCTGCGGAATTTTGGCCCTTTGGAGTAGCAACTTGAGATTTGAATACCCCAGCGAATTCTTTTAGCCATTGTTCTGCATCGAACTGGTCGCTAATAAATTTCTATAAACAATCCAAATAAAAATATAAACAAAATAAGTGCATACATGTATTTTGTTTTCGTGCTACCTTTGGAACACAACAACGTGCTTTTACAATACTCTCACACATGCTAGCTACGAGTATCGGACGATCGGTGCACAGTTTTGTAGCTTTTTGCAGAGGCACCTCTTCGACTAGTGCTGAACTTGTGATGTAGTGCACAATGAACGGATGCATATCAATTGTTTTTTCTTGTAGTAATGCTTTCATTTCCACTTCAACAAATTCTCTATAATTAAAGAATGTATTACACCATTTAGAACTGAAAGTATTAATGTTACTTACTTTAAGGTTGTGCGTGTGGTTTCTTTGAGCTTTTTGAGTATATCATATATACGCTCTAATGTTCCGATTTTAAAAACGTATGGCAAAACAACTTCCGTGTGCAATAAATTATGGCGTATCTTTTGTAACTCGATTTCTGTAGCGTTTGTGAGCTTATCAGTCTTAAACTGTTCCTCCAACATATCTACACGATGCTTCAGCAGTGCCGCCGTTTTAAGAGCCTACAAAATAACATTTAAAATAATTATTGGCTTCAATTATCTACGTATTAAATATAGTCCCACATTTTCAGCGGCAATTCCAGCAACTGCGGTGAAAGCAAATCGTGCACGATTGGTTTGTCTGAGGTTTGTGATGGTGAAATATTCCAACTCTTGCGTGTTTGTGATATGCGTTCCACAACATAACTCCTTTGAGAGTAACTGCGGATGCTCGCATTTTATGCTAATCAAACGTAAGCCAGTCTCAGGGTATATTTCACCAGGTACCATAGTGATATCGTCTTGTTGTAACACTTCGCTGGCATTTGTATATGTTACGACTACTGGCACCCTCGAGTTAATGGTCTGTCTGTCGGTTTTATTTTGAATAAGTTTCAATTATTTTGGACTCTTTTGGTTCAATTTAAAATTTACCCAATTAAATCCTCTATTCGAACAATATCGTCTTTTGTAATACGCTTGCCAATTAAGCCAAGTTCAAGTTTGCAATTATCACTGGTAACGGAGCTAGATACTTGATAGGTAACTTTGTTGAAGAGCGACCTGATGGCACCATTTAATAAATGTGTTGCTTCAAAAAAAAATATATAATGATTATTTTTTCAAATGTCTTGTGAGCGGACGTATCTATGTATATTCATCTCATGGTGATATAATTTTACTATATATTCATCCAATCGGAGTCAAATATTTTTAACTAATTTGTTTTATTGTTGGGTTGCCTAAAAAAATAATTGAATTTACCTGTGTGATGGCAAGTTGTTCTTTGACGGTGATTTTCGTTTACTACAAGCTGAATTTGCGCACCAGTCGTTAGAATAAACTCCTCTTTGAATTTCGGCAGTTTGCACACGTGCACAATGCAATCATTTACATGCTTAACTTCCACAACAGGCAATTGTGGTTTAGAACGATCATCTCTTTCAGATGTCAATAAGATGGTACCGACATCTCCTTGTTGACCACCCGATTCATAATAGAAGTTACTGACGTATGTTACAATGTGCAGGAGATCACTATCGGTCAATGAACTATTTAAAAACACTGTGTCCGATTCTGAGCCACCATATACCATTCCGGTTACTTGGGCCGAAAGTGTAGGAATAATGTACCGTTTATTTTTCGCATCATATTTGTAAGCATATTTTAAACTATTATCCGTTGGACCCAACTTTTGAGTTAGACGCGCGAGTGCTTCGTTCGAGCGTATTTGGCTTTCTAGTTTATCTTCACTATTGCCATTGAATGAAATTTTCGATTTAAACTTAGCATTTGAAATCTCTGTGAGGTATCCCCGCAAATCACATTCCATGTTTTCTAATTCCGCTAATTTTTTGAAATGCTCCTCCGTTAGTCCATACGTATCCGTAAGTTTGTAAAGAAATTTACCGGGTAGCACATTATTTTTAAATGTTTCTTTTTGTGCTTGAAAATCACGATATGCGGGCACAAATCCGGGACACTCCCTCAAGTCTATATCTTCCAAGTTGGGAAATTCTGTCAGAACCTCTGCAAATGCTTTTGAAGAGCTTTCTCTCAGCAATTTAAATACTTCTTGTTCGTGCGCTATCAACTCGAGGATTGAGGTCTGTTTGTTATTCATTTCGGGATAAGCTGTTCCTATAGTCTCTACAACCACAGGTATGAGTTGTGACAATAATTTCTCATTTGTAAAAATATTTTCGCTTATGGTAAGGGCTTTGCGTAGAACTCGACGAAGCTTTTGACTATATTTTTGGAAAGATTAGTAATACTGTATTTTCATTCTAAATACTAGACATACTTTTGATCCGGCAACATGCCATCCGCAAGACACGCCGTTATCATGCGTGCATGGTCTGCTAAAATTCTGTACCCTGTGTCCAAAGTAGCGGCCTCAGTGGCAGTTGGAAAAGTACCACCATAGTGTGGAGCTTGGGTAATCTGAAGAACTAATTTGTTATAATCAAGTTTTTGTTTTCAAGTAACAGAAATCTTACTTTTTGAATTGCGTTGAATATGGGCGTGAAGAGATCTGTATCATAGTTTGACGATTTTTGCTGCAAAATTGCAGTTAATCGCTCAAACCCCATGCCGGTGTCTACATGTTGAGCCGGCAATTGTGTAACGGATCCGTCTTCGTTTCTAAAAAAAAATCTGGTGTAGACATAAACGTTATTATATCTTAAAAGTGGTTATACCGATTGTATTGGATAAAGACTATATTCCACAATTCTGTCAAATCTGGCTTATCAGCATTAACGAACTTCGCACGTTCATGACTATTGCTCGTTGTGGGAAAATGGTCAATGTGTATTTCGGTACACGGCCCACATGGACCTGTCGTACCCATTTCCCAGAAGTTCTCCTTGCAACCAAATGGCAAAATACGTTCAGCAGGAAATCTATTTTAAAGTTTGAAATGCATGTATGCTAGGGATTAGCAATGGTAATGGCTACAAACCCCAAGCTGCGCCAAATTTCGAAGCATTCCATGTCAGCAGGTAAGCCAAGTATCTTATCACCTGCAAAATAAGTTACATACAATCTGCTGGGATCGATGTTGAATGGACCACGTAAAAGTTCGAAAGCCATTTCGCAAGCTCCTTGCTGTCATAATTGAATTTAAATCTATCATATCCGATAATAGTTTATGTGCATATGTAGTTAAGAAAAGTACCTTAAAGTAATCTCCGAACGACCAATTCCCTAACATTTCGAAAAATGTATGATGATAGCTATCTTGTCCCACAACGGAGAGATCATTGTGTTTTCCCCCAACTCGCACACATTTTTGGGAATTAGTTACGCGCGGATAGGGTGCTTGAGCATTTCCCAAGAATACTGATTTAAACTAGAAGCATTTTAAAAATATTACTTCCATAGTGTTACTTCAATGTGTGTATTTATATGTAGTTATTCGATACCTACTTGATTCATGCCAGCATTAACAAATGCCACAGTAGGGTCACAGAATGGCACCACCGGGCTGGAACGCACAAATTTGTGGTCATGGTTAACTCTGAAGTAGTCAATGAAACACTTGCGTATTTCTCTAGAAGAGAGTATTCGTTGCAACTTCTTTGCGGAAGAATACATGGCACTGAAGTAGCGTTCCCTAAATTGAATAATAGGTTTATCTATTATTTGTTAATTTCCATAACCATTAAAAAAGCCGACACAAAAGATTGCCATGAAAAGCACAATAACAAATAAAATAAGGGTGTTCGCGCAAAATAATTTGTACGAGTTACTAACTTACGGCGCGTTTACATTGGACAATGCTGATATAATACAAGATTCCGCATTCCCAGCGACGATGTAATTTCTCAAGTAAAAGTAAACAAAGCCGAATGGGAGGATAAAATAAACTGTAAAATAGTAAATTTTCTTAATTTTTCGACAGGAAACGCGGTTTTATTGTGTTAAATTGCAAAATATATGATTTATAAAAATAATTAATAGCGAAAATGTTAAAAAACGGAGATTTTTGTGAAGATTTTTTAGCAAGTTTAAGTGCAACTAAGGTTTCTGAGGCGTTGTTTACTTTTACTTGAGAATTGTCAAAATCGGCAAATCCCAATTAGCTATTTCTGGAACGTGTCACATTTGTTCGCTACTTCGTGATGTGATAAAAGGAAAAGCTGGCAGTACTCCGCAAGGTTGTTGAAATTTCTTAAAATATGTTCGAAAAATATCTTAATATGGAAAGAACTGCTTTACACTGTCAAGGAAAAAAATTGCCACTCAACTCATCGCAATTTTTAGCAACTTCAATCTTGCACTTTATTATACTAAAATTAAATTTTTCTAGAGTCTAATTAAAAAGTTTACCATTTAGGTTAAACCTTGCAGAAATTTTTAAATTTTTGTACAAAGTTTGATCCAAACCCAGAGATCTACCACATTTTTTTGAAATCTACCACATTTTTTCCCAGATTCTACCACACAGAATGTTTTCGGAGTCCGATCACTGACGGTTACCCAGTACTAAAATAGGGAATGCATTCCTTATTTTTCTACCACGAAACGTTAACGACTATGAACGAAAATATGCATCGCAATATAAGCCAGCGGGTAGTCTGTGTAAAATAAAAAAAATTTTGATATTTGTTCCCGATGCGCAGACCTAGTTGTGTTTGGAGATAAACAATTTCTGTTAAATTTCTTTTAAATGTCTATGTGGTATATGGCGAATTGTGGTGAATTGTGTTGTATGCAAATCGCGGTGAAAGTACTCGCAATACCCAGCACCAAGGCGAATTAATATAAGGTGATAGATAGCAGGAGTACAAAAACAAAAATTTACATGTATTTTGTTTTTGCTTTGGCGACATAAACTGTCAAAATCTGTAAGAGTGTGTGTAGAAATTCAAACAAAATTTTTCAATTTGATAGAAGCCGTGCGGCGAAACACATACACAAAATCAGCTGAGCTAGTAACACCACCTTATATAAATTCGCCTTGCCCAGCACTGTGCGTCGCCTGGGCAAAAGATTGTCGTACACCCGATTTACATGATTCAAGTACATGAACGAAAGACACAAGATCACGCGGGAAGGAAAGAACGAAAAGTTATTTTCTATCTGCCGAAATCTCGACGCCATCTTTGTTGTAAGAAGTAAACAACGAAGAGAACGGAGAAAACCGCGAAATTGTTGAACGCATGAATAATCATTTTTATTATGCAAATTCTTCTATAAATCACGCCGTTGTGTTAACCCTGCAAAAATCGCGACTACTCCATGCATGCGTGTAAAGAGTACTCCCTAAGGACCAAAGAGTACTCCAAAATTAACCACAATTCATATAAAACATATGGTCCAATTAACATTGCGATGTCCTAGGGCAGGACCATATACTCCATCCCTGCATTACATCAGAGTAGCACAAAACTACTCCAACATATTAACAATGGGCATTGTTGTTATATTTTTTCGTTTGTACACGCTTTTGTTCTTCACTTCTCAAATGCTTTTTCGAAATTAATAAAAACCAAGACAAAAATTAAAAATTACATGTTGCCTCTGACGGTATTCGAACCCGAACATGCTGGGAGCTAAGAACTAACAGCGAGCATCTCTACACGTTCAGCTACAGCCAGACATGCAGATGTGCTTTCAAATGCTCAACTTCAATCACGTTTCGTTAAAACACGAGCAGTGATCGGATAACAAACAATAAGCTGGCGCAGAGACACGAGTTGGTCCGCTACAGCATGACAGAGGAACACTTTTGTAAGTACTCCAATTTACCACAAATAGAGTACATGGTCCAACGATTTTTGCAGGGAAATTATTCTTTACCTTATGTGTACACACGTGTTCACAGGCGAAAAAGAAGAAAATTGCAGTAAAAAGCCACGACCAAATTGTAAACAATGAAGAAATGTAAACAAACGGCTATTGTCAAAATCGTTAAACTTTTTTCCTAAATGCGATTCTAACGGGCTACTCTCCTGCCCGCGTGATCTTGTATTTTTGGTTCATGATTCAAGTACTTGAAAGATTCTCTTTTGTGTTTTCTATTTGCTTTACCAAGTTTCAATTCTGTTGAATTCAAGTTGTTGATTCTTTAAATGGGAAGCAACGAAAATGCCAAAAGCAAAGCAAGAAAGTTGAAACGACTTGACGGCACAGACGCATGTGTACTCGTCCCTTTTCTTCTCATCCCCTCTCTTCCACATGCGGGCAGAATTGAATTCAATACTTGAACTGTGTAAAAGCAGTCTTACGTTACTTTCGGCAGGTTTTGGGGAATCGCGATTGAATTTTGGAATGCAATTTCTCAAAAACCCGAAGATTGATTTTCAACAAATTCTCGGAGAATGTTACTAGTGTTGAGGCCGATGTTTATTTAAAATAAATAAGTAAATTTTTTTATATAAGTACATGCATACACATATCGAGCCCTACCCGCCAAAATAACGTAAGCGAAATTTTTCAAAATTTTATTTAAGATGCAGAAATGCATCTAGATGCTCTAGGAATATTTTTGCATCAAAATGAAAATTTGGAAAAAAATGTCGCTTACGTTATCTTGACGGTTAGGGCTCGATATACCCAGAAACAAAATTTTTAAATTATTTCATTTTATTGCTTATTGTTGATTAGTTTTGAGTTTATGAAGGATTTTATTTAGTAACACTTTGTCGTATGCGTTATTTGTGCACAATTTTGCACCCACTTTGTATGAAATACGACAAAATGAAATAAAAATGTGTACTAAGTTAACGATACTTTTTACTCAATGTCACGGAAACTAAAAGAGGTAATGCCACTTTTATTACGGGTCTCGAACAGGACCTATATCAGAAAAGTAGCAGTTACCTACATATCGTGTAAGAATGATTTTAGCAAATTAACTTATATTTTCAGTCTTACGCTTTTGGATGTAAATGAAATTTCGATCAGTTGTACCTTAAACTTGCAAGTTTTTACAAATTTTATGTTCGCGTACCTTTTGAAAATAGTTGTATTTGAGAGAGAATACTCTCCTGCAAGTTGCTGCAGGATAACTCCCGAGTATCTATTCAAACATAGTAATTTTCACGCATGCTTGTGTTCTTTTGCTTTTAAAAATATGCAGAAAAAATAATCGGTATGTCTTGCTCAAAATGATAAAATGTGGAAGATTGCACCAACATTTCTTGCTCCAAATGTATCTAAATATTATAAATTGCATATTCGGTACATCTCAGGTCATCTAGAGGTTTGTCTGAAAATAAAAGGGAGTAAAGTAATAAATTTATTTACCATTTTTCCGTGGCTCACATGTCCTTGGTGCTTGTTAGTTCTTGCGAAAATCATTTGAAAACACGTTTTCATTTTATTTGAATTTCCGTTATGATTCTATTTAAAATTTAATGAATATATACATCGACATAAATACTCAGATGATAATTTTTACATATATGTAATGCAATAAATTGAATTAAAATAGGAGCTTCTTATTGCATTACAGCTTGCATATTTGTGATACCAAAAGGAAATGTAAAGCTCCAAAAACACAAGAACAGTTTTAAAATTCTTTCTTATCACAAACTATTATGTTAGTTAACACAATTTCTATAAAAATATATAAACTATGCCCAAATACTTATAATGCCTTACGCTAATGGAATAGACAAAAGTAAAGAAATAATGAAAAAAGCTTGACTTAGCTACTTAAAAGTTTTTTATTAGTTGTAAATTTAATTTATTTGCTACAAAATGTGTATTTTAATATAAACATCCATTCAATTAAGTGGTAGCATTTGGCATCTTTGAAATAAATACTTGCGATTCGAAACTATTATTATAACACATACAAAGGTATTTTTCAAGTTTTTCTATGAAATTCAAATAAGCATTTGGCTAAATTTATAAAACATTTAATATATACTGACAAAAAAAAAAGAATAATTCATTTATAATAAACTACTAGAAAAATATTTGATATAAAATGATAAAATTATTTAAAATAGTATGTAGTTTCAATTAAAATGCTGCTCGCGATGATAGGCTAAATTTAAATATAATTTTTTCGAAATCTTTTTTAGTTCTAACGTACATACATATATACATACAGTGACTCAAACAAGTGACGTCGTGTTGATTTTTTTGAATATCATACTGATTTTTCGAGCTATTTTTTTTTGTTATTTTGCTATAAAAATACCGTTTAAGCTTTAACCAAAGCCATATAAATCACAGTTTAAAACTTAACACAAAATTTAGGAAATTAATTGATTTTTGAAATTTTTTTGGGTGACGAATTTTTTTCATATAAGCATGAATTTCTTATGAAATAAAATGCGGGAGAACGTTCGCAACAAAATTTAAAAAAATTAACGCCAGTTTTTGTAAATTGCACTTGTTATATAAAAAAAAAAACAGTCTCAAAAAAAAATCTCAAAAGTCAACGTGATTTTTTAGCCGGCTGAAACTTGCACTTCAATGGAAAGTTTAAAGATTCAGATTAAAAAGTGGAAATTTTGTTGAATTTACCAAAATTTTTTATAGTTGAAACTGTGATTTATATGCGTTTCGTTAAAGCTTGGACGGTATTTTTTTAGAAAAATACTAAAAAAAAGCTCGAAAAACATTACGAATATTAAAAAAAAAATCAACACGGGGTCACTTGTTTCAGTCACTGTATGTATTAGATTAAACTTATTAATAAAATTTCTCCGTAAGCAGAACAATAAAAAGTAGAATAAAGGCATTGAGATGATCTTTGAATTAAAAAGTATAGTAATATTTTCTCCGTGAATTTTATCGAACCTAAAAGAGATAATAAAGCCGCTATTATAGGCTACACAAATGTACATGAAATATTTATCCGACTCAGCCCAGCTAAAATTGCCATCTTCAAATTTGTTCGCGTTTTGATGGTTTTATATGTAAGTCGGTTGGTTCACAATTTGCTCGAAAGTGACATTTGTGAATTCGTATGTTAGTACACATTGGGCTCATATCAAAATCTAAAATACATGTACATAAATATAATTTTAACTGTTGGTACTAGCAGTAGTCGATTTACTTTCGATTTTGTAGATGGCGTTACTAAGATATTGTCATGCGTATAGCAAACGCTTACCTATCAGGTGACTGACAGTTGATAATATTGGTAAATATGTATTTTGAGAAAGTCGCTTGGACTTCTGCCATCTATGTATCTAGTTTAAGATATTCTGCGTTATTTTAAAAAAGATTTACATATGTATGTATGCCTGTATGTGCAGCTTTGCATTCGTGTGAAGTGTAAGTGCCACCGAATTTTTTAAAGCACTTGCTCATAAAATTCATGATTATATTTTTAAACCGCCTCGTTTTTTGTGAAGAACCAGCTGCACTATTTTATTTGTAACTGCGTACATACCCTAACAAATAACTATTATATCTAAACATTTTTGAAATTACTTTAAATGGATATATTGGAAACGGTCTAAATTTTTCTTATATGCTATTTTAATAAATTAATCATTTCTATTATTTTGTTACGATTGTTGTGCATGTAGGCCTTAGCATGCCATAACATATTGATTAATTTCTGATCATCCTTTTCATCCATAGCAATGTCTTCATATAATTGTGGATTGAACCTGATGCCGGAGATAGAAATTAGTTAGGCTAAAAAAGACTGGAAAAACTTAGTTGTATCTACCTGTAATAGGGCACTCCAATTGTGCTGCACCAAGCCCGTGCCCGATCAACGACACGACCATCAGAAGCCGTTGCTTGATCGACGAGCAAGTTGCCTAAACATTTTGAAAATAAATATATCAGCGTTATTTAATGTGCGAGCACAAAAGTAGCTCAATGTGTACACTTACCAATTGTTGAGATCCCATAGGCTAATTTAGCGGTATCCCATATACTTTCCGGGCGGAATACATCAATATCTTTGAGTGCGGTTACTGGTATCAGACCGGTACCAAGAGAAACTACAATAGAAACCTGTAAAGCGTACAAGAAGAGTTCATTAACTGGGTACATATCTACAAAAATTACTCTATCTTATGAGTATATGTGAACGTTTTTTGTTTGTCCGCTATGCGCACCTAAACTGTTCCATATGTGACGAAATTTGAAGGAGTTATCAAAGTTCATCAATTTAGCTTGATCCGCTAGATGGTGCTGGAGCAGAAATATTTGTAAAATTGACATTTAACCATAAAAAAAATGATGAAATTTGAATGCCCATTTCTGTAATTTTGTTGGCAAAAATCCAAAGTATAAAATGGAGAATAAGGACTGGCCGAATAAAAACCTACAAAATTAAAGATACATTTTTAACCAGTTAACGGCTGCATTTCTTTATTAATTCTGAACATTTGGAATCAACTTTTTTGTTTACTTATTCTTTAGAACGTTCCTGATGATATGTTAACGTATATTTCAAACGCGTTCTGTTTATTCTGGCTGTGAAATGGGATTATCCGGAATGTATAAAGAAACGCAGCCAACAAGTTTTCAAAAACTAACGAATTTTGGTTAAAAGCTTGCCATTTATCCAAGGTAGTTTGGTATTGAAAATGGGCGAAATCGGATGGGCGACGGATTTTGTAGTGGCATCACCAACATTACGGCAGCACTATTAGCTAGGGGCAGGACTGGAAGACAGCAAAGCGTATCTTCACCTGATCAAACGCACGATGGGCCTTAGATTCATTTGAACCTTATAAGCCCATAGGATGGGCGGCCTATGACCGATTTTACTCCAGAAAGAACTGGACCTGCTAATCCCGATCCTAACCAATGCTACGAGGGAAAGTCTGGCACTGGCCTATCTCCTGCAGGCGTGGAGGGGAGCCTTTGTGAAATTAATTCCCAAGATTCCAAATCTTTTCGTCCGATTAGCCTAACATCGCTCCTTATCAAGGCGATGGAGAAGGTTATAGACAACCATATAAGGACTACCACCTCACCGCCTTTGATAGAAATATACAATGAAGCAAAGTATCTAGGGGTTATTCTCGACAGCAAAATTTTACGGAAAAAAACGTTGAGTACGCTGTAACAAAAGCCATACGAACTTTAACGGTATGCAGAAGACTGACCGGCAAATCATCGGGTGCAGCCCTTACAATCAGCGGTGGATATACACAATGATTGTCAGGCCAATAGTTACATATAGAGCAGTGGCATGGTCCGAGAGGACTGCTCTCATAACAGTAAGGGCATCGCTTTCCAGGCTTTAGCGACTGGCGTGGACCTGTATAACAGGTGTCATGCGTGTCTGTCCACCCGCGGCCCTGGAAGTAATCCTGAACCTGTCGCCACTCCACATAGTCATAGAACAGACTGCCAAGAAGGTCCTACTCAACTTCATGAGGGAGGGTACTAGAAAAGACAATGTGATCCCGAGCAGACTGGGAGAGGAAATCAGAATCGAGATTCCTATCTCCCAGCTCAATAGAGATGAGATCGTTACGATAAGAACCTTGGAGGATTAGTTCAGAACTGAACAAGGCAGCAAGGTAACCTGGAACGAGACAATCTTAGATAACACCTTTCGGCCCCACCCCAAAGGTGGTTCACAGACTGCTCAAAAACTGACGAAGGTATAGGGGCAGGAATACATGGCCCTAAGGTCAATCTCCATTCCCTTGGGGAACTACCGCAGTATCTTTCAGGCGGAAGTTTTTGCCATCAAATTTGTGCGGAAGTAATTCTGCAGAGACCATCAAGAAGACAGCACATTGTCATCTGCAGCGACAGTCAGGCTACACGAAAAGCCGTATCGTCGTGTGAAATTCATTCACGGTTTGTATGGGAATGTGTAACGAGACTGATCGCCCTGGGGGAACTCAACACGGTACATCTGATGTGGGTCCCTAGTCACAAAGGCATACAGGGAAACGACAGCCTAGCTAGAGAAGCAGCAGCAACTCCACCTATGGGACTAGAACCCTTCCTTGCTGTCGGCTCTCAAACTATCAGGGAAGAGTTAAGAGCAAAGGAACGACACCTAAGTAGAACAAACTGGAAGAACACGTCTGAACTAACGCAAGCGAAAGAACTTCTAGGAAGCTATAACCCCAGAAGATCTAGAGAACTAATCACACTTTACAAGATTCATTTGAAATTTATTACAGGACTGCTAACAGGTCAATGCAGGCTGCGGGCCCATATGCACACCCTAGGGATTAGCGCAGACAACTCCTGCCGCTACTGCGACCTGAAACCTCACGGCATCTCCTCTTAGAATGTGATGCGGTGGCGAGAAGAACACATTCACTCTCTACAGCCCTGAAACTGATAAGCTTAATCAGAGCACTAGGGCTGGACGAGGTGTGAGAAGCTCTGAGGGCGGAATAGACCTAAGATCGCAGTGCACATCCTCTAACAAATCTATATATCTTCAGACAATTAATGCAGAGCTAATGTGATATGAAACATCCGAAAACGGACTGAGGCTGATTGACTTCGCCGGGGCCCGTAACATGGTAGTACGCAGTACTAGGTTCAAGCACAAAAACATCCATCAAGCTACGTGGCTGTCTTCAGATCGAAAAAATAAGAAACCAAATCGATCATGCTGTGATAGACGGAAGGCAGGCTTCCTGGGTTTTAGACGTACGTACTTGTGGCAGCCAAGATACACAGCCGCCTCTATGCAACAAAAAATGTGCGCACAAAAATGCAAAGAAAGTTTAACGTCGCAAAGCTGCAGCACAACAGACGTCCAATGCATTCGCTACTCGACTCTCACACGTGCTCTCAGAGAGGACTCTTCAACAATCCGACATATGCGGACAGCGGAACCACATTGCGCGCCCATCAATTACCGCCGCCGAGGAAGTAGGGTGCGTTCACATAGAAAGCGGAGCCGAGCCGAGCGAATTCGTTCCGAGCTGAGTGAAGCTTTCAAATTGCAATATGAAAGTGTTCATACGCAAGATTTTTGATAAGCGTTTTGGAGCTGAAAGCAAAGCAGTTTTTGATTTTGAATTTTCTATTTAATTTTTATGTTTCATAACGCTGCTGTTTGAAGATATCAAAATATTCAAATAAAAACGAATTTTAAAACGAATCTTTTGAATAAAATTGGGCAAGTATTAATTACCGCTTTTCATTGACGGCAAGTTTTGTGGTATCTTTGCAGCAGAGTCCATGAGAAGAGCTTCGCTTCGCTTCTTTCAATGTGAACATCAGCAGCTTCGCTTTGTTCCGCCTTGCTTCGCTCGGCTCCGCTCGGCTTTCTGTGTGAACGCACCCTTACAGGTCTATTCTGCGCTGGTAATAAAAATTTTGCTACCGGTAAATAAAGTTCCTTTCAATTTTAAAACACTTTTCGCATTCTGTGTACTCTTGTTACCGATAAATTTTGTTACCATCTCATAAGCTGGTAGCAAAATATTGCCCCGTGAAATATACAATGCCAGAATTTCCACAATTATTCATAGCTGAATTGCTGAATATTTTAACTGCATTACCAACGTACCTAGAATCGCGGTGACAAGAACTGGTAACATTTTGTGGTAATATAACTTTCCGGTTACAAAACATTCGGTAGCGTGCAGAATACACCTGTTAGTCGGATTTCAGCGAGCAAGAAGCTGCAGAGAAAAAATATGCCGCCTACACGGCCACGCTGCGATCGGGCGCAACGCGAATTATGTGGGACTGTTATAGGGAACTGAAGAGGGAAGCGAGACGTATTTTTCGCAATAAGAAGAGAGAGGCCGAAATATGTGAGTGCGAAGAGCTTGAAATGCTGGCCGATAGGAAAAATGGAAAATTCTACCAGAGAGTTAGGCGACTTACGGAAGGTTTAGAGACCAGGGCGAACTCTTGTAACAATAACAATGGCGACCTAGTGTGTGATGTCCACAACGTACAAAATTATGGAGGAAACATTTTTCCACCCTAGCTGTGGAGAAGACCTGAGCTGCCAGTCTTTGATCATGGAGTCGATGTTCCATCGCCTGACTATGACGAGGTACGAATAGCAATAGCGCGCTTGAAAAACAACAAAGCTGCCGGAGCTGACAGCCTGCCAGCTGAGATATTCAAGTACGGCGGCGAGAGTTGATTAGGTACATGCATCAACTCTTGTGCAGAATATGGTCAGATGAAGGCATGCCCGACGACTGAAATTTAATTGTGCTCCGCCCAATCCACAAGAAAAGGAACGAGATACGCGCCGACTACCGCGGGATCAGCCTTCTAAGCATAGGTTACAAAGTCTTATCGAGCGTATTGTGTGAAAGACTGAAACCCATCGTCAACGAACTGATTGGGCCTTATTGGGCAAATCCTCCATAGACCAGGTATTCACAATACGCCAAATCTTGTAAAAGACCCGGGAGAAAAGGATCGACACTCACGATCTACTTGTCGACTTCAAAGGTGCTTTCGACAGCACTAAAAGGAGTCACCAATACACCGCGATGTCTGAATTTGGCATCCCCGCGAATCGCATACGGCTATGTAAAATGACGTTGAGCAATACCACCAGCTCCGTCAAAATTGGGAAAGACCTTTCCGAGCTGTTCGCTGCCAAGCCGGGCTCAGACCTTTCATGATGTATTTAGTCTGATGTTGGAGAAGATAATAAGAGCTGCAGAACTAAACCGCTCAGAAACAAATTTTGTACAAGAGCGTGCATTTGCTGGCGTATGCCGATGACGTCGACATCATCGGTAAAGAGAACCGCGAAATCTGTTCTGCCTTTTCCAAGTTGGAAAAGGAAGCGAAGCGATTGGGTCTGGTGGTCAACGAGGACACGACGAAGTATCTCCTGTTATAAAAAAAAAGTCAACGCATTCGCGCCTTGGCACTCACAGTTGACAGTTAAATAAAGTGGAGAATTTCGTTTATTTGGGAACTCGCATGAACACCGATAATAATGTCAGCAAGTAATCCAATTAATATACAGCGGCTCCGCGTTCCCACGACAGTCGGGTCTACGTAACCGGAACGACCCAGATTTATATCTGTCCAAGGACTGTCACTCCAGCACTCCCCAAAATCTCTTTGGGGAATTTGTATGCTGTTACAACAATAACACCAACAACAACAGCGGCTCCGCTGGCTTGGCCATGTCGTTCGAATGGACACCGACGCTCCAGCTCTGAAAGTATAAAACTCGGAACCCGTGGTAGGAGAAGAAGAGGGAGACCCCCTCTGCGATGGAAAGACCAAGTGGAAAAGGACTTGGATTCAATTGGCATTTCCAATTGGCGTCAGTTGGCACAGAAGAAAACGACTGACGAGCTTCGTTGAACTCGGCCAAAATCGCTTAGGCGGTTACAGTACCAAATAATAGGAAGAAGAGAAGGCGGATGAACTTACAAAAGAAGGCACATCAGTCCGATTTCGCAGTCTTAGAAGGGTTATGGCATGGCGCTCGCAACGCTCACTCTACGAGTAGAATATGATAAATGGACAAGTCACAAAACTTAGGTGGCTAGAATGGAACGAGAAACGGTCGAAGGGTCTTCTCATTCTGGGCATAAGTGACTTAGCCATGAGCCTGCCATAACGACTTCTGCAGAAGCTGCAGAAATAATGAAGAACTAGAAATCTTGAGGCAGCTGTTATGCAGATGTTCCGCACTCTGTAAAAGAAGAAGAAAGTTCGTGGTTTAATTTTTCGAGGGTTTAACCGACATAGCTGAAGTGAGAATACGGTAAATATTCGGTCTCATAGGCTACCAACCGGCTGGAGTAGGAGAGTGTTCACGATCTGCGTGATATAACAACCAGCTAAAAAATACGAGGTTGGTCACTTCAATCTAACCTAACCCCTGGACCGACATAATGGCTAAATCAATTAATTTTTGCATTCTTCCATGATTCGATCAAATTGCTTCCCATAAACACTTGTCTGCATGACTTCTATAGATATTTGATAAGTGTAGAACACGAACAGAGATTAACCTTCGTAGAGAATTATCGAATGACTGGATCCTTATATTAAAAGATAGTTTGGCGGTACTTTTGGCTCTATCATTCTTCGAGGTCAAAACCTCATTGGTCCTGTAGCTCGTTTCTGTAACTCTTCTCTACCGATTATTTCTCTACTGGTATACGAATATACACTGATATGGGTACCGCCCTTCCTTGCGTTAGCTCCCAGCACGATAAAGGAAGTGCTCAGAAAAGAAAATACCAAACTGGCGAAAGATCACGGGTCTTCGTCAGGCTAAGATCTTATTAGGGAGGTATAACCTAGAGATACAGGTTACTCATAAGCCTCAAAGTGAGGCTAAGGATTGTTACAGCTTTTTGACGGGTTATTGTAACTAAAAGCATGCTCACATTATCGTAATTTACGGCTCATTTGTAATTTGCAAGCAAATCATGATGAAATCAAGTAATTTCGCTTTGTAAAATCTATCAATGAATTAAATAGAAATGAGATGATTTATCATAAATCAGGAAACAAATGAAGAAAAAGACCCCACTGTTGAGGAAATTAAAAAAATACCTAAAGTTATGCAACCATTTTTTTTTTTGTTTTGAAATCAAGTACAAACCACACACTCGTACGTGCATGTGCTAATCACATATCTATAGAAATTATGAAAGAAAATGTTAACGCACTTGGTTTATGTGAAGTCATTTGATCGAAACAAAGTAATTTGCGTTGTAATGTGAACATAGTTTTACTTTATTTCAACAAATGTGCTCATAAATTACGAATGAGGCGTAAATTACGACAGTGTGACATTTCGGTGGAGCGGAACTAAAAATTTTACGTTTCGAAATTTATTGGACGTCAATAGAATACTCCTAAATTTATTTGGAAATCGGTTATTACATTACTATATCGAGAAAATGAACACCTTCTACAAAAAAGTGTTTAAAATCAAGGACAATTCTAGAGAGTATTAACTGATTTCAACTATTTTTTGGCCTAAGGCTCAGTTAGTCTAGACTTAATTTACGTAACCTAACCTAATATCGACGCCTCCAAACCATACTATGCTAAGTCTGGCTAAGTCTAAGGTGACTCCGCATGGTACTGTTTTGAAGGGGTCGATATATTGGCCAACGCATTATACTTTTGTTCAGAAATTTTTTGATGTGGCTTATAAGTCGGCAAAGTGACCATCAGCTGAAAAGGGAAATACAAGAACAAAATATTTTCGCTTATGGCTAAGTTGTAGTGTTGAGTGATAATTGACGATATCTTACGCAAGTTAAGCCTATACTATTATTAGCCCTCTTCGCGTACGCATTATCCAGTAAATCCAGTACTAATTTTACTGGTTTTTTACTGGATGTCGTTTTCGTACGCAAAAACTTGCAAGAAACTAGCAAAAGAGGGGAAATTGAGAGAGCAAAATTGACAGCTGAACTTGCAAGTTTTACTGGATTTTTACTGGATAAATTTTTACCAGCAACTATTTTCTAGTAAGAAAAACAGCTGATGGCACGAAGCTTAATCTAATTCACATTAACAAAATACATAATTGTTTGTGGTGCTTTTAGAGTTGCAATTGACAAAATAAACCTATTTGAATATATAATAAGATGGAAAATACTAGTTTTCAAAGAAAGTTGCATCGGAAAATAACAAATTAATCAGCTGTTCATAAAACTTCTTGCTGGTTTTGCGTTTTCGTACTTTCTTGCATATTTCACTCATTGGGAGTAAATATTGGCTTACTCTACGAAATTTGGTTACTGGCAAGTTACTGGATATTTTTTGCTGGAGATTACGAAAACACAACTAATAGTCGTCCAAATTGACGTCCAAAGGCAACGATGCCCCACTATTAGAATTTCGAATCCTACATTTTCTTGTATCCGCTCCACCCTAGTGAACATACTTTTAGGCTGTTACAAGCACAAATGCGCGAGGGTGCAAAATAAGTCTCAATTGATACATTGGCCCGAGCTGTAGGTTACTCATTTTGAAATATATAAAAGTAAGGTTAGTTTTTAAAGAAAAAACAAAAACAAAATTATTATGTTGCCAAAACAATTTCTGAATATAAGCAAAATATCTCGAGCCAATTTTTCGCCGTAGGAGATCTTAGCCAATAATGGTTTCAAATGTGGGCTATATCGCACCAAATCTACGTTTTACATAAATGTATGTCGACACAAGCGCTATTAAGAGAATCAAATCAAACTTACATACTTATTTATAAACATCCAAAGGTAAAATTTTGTCACAATAGAGAAAACGGTTTAGATTTGCATCAAACAATAGTTGCTTCTAAAAACTATACGAATTTACTTCTTGAAAAAGCTATAACGCTCGCAAAAGAGATTTTAAAGGACGGATTAGTAAATTTCTTATTAGTCGGTCTCAACATAATATTTGTATTGCAAATATGGCAAAAGTATTATGAGGCCTCGCGAGTTAGATAGCTTTTGTTATAAAAATTTACCGGAATTGCCTCCTTTTCACGTCCAACACTGCGCAGTGCCATATTGTATTCATGAATTTCGGTCATAGCGTCCAAAGTCGGATTGTTGGCGATTAATCCACCATCGAGAAAACGTCCGAACGCACTGTAAGAATTTGAGTAAGAACAAAGTTTTATTTTCATTATTTTACATGTACACAAATAACATAATTAAAGAACTATCAATAACGCAAGCAGAAAAGTAAATCAATTATGCAAAACCGAAAATAAAAATAGCAAAATAGCCTTTTAATTAATCAAAAATCTTAAACAAGTTTCAACTCACGAACTTAACGTTTGTAGATAAGGTTATATCATAGAGTTAGCATTTGAAAATAGAACAATAAAATAATGGTTCTAAACTTTACAAAATATTCAAGGTGTTATAAAAATTGTTAAAATATTTCTTGTTTTGTGTAACACTATTGTAAAATTATTAAAATCGCGACGTACTGAATATCTGCTTACCGGAAATATGATGGTGCTGCGCCAGTAGCTCTAGCTGCACGCCAAACTAGTTGCTCTTCCGGAGGTGGTGGCGGTACACGGCGATTGTCTGAAAAAAAGTAAGTTCATTTGTAATTATTATAAGGATCGTCTTGATTAAAAATCAAACTTACTTATTGGCGTAACTATTCCTAGGATATCACTGGCGCTGTGATAATTTCTGAACAGATGCAAATCTACCGGCTTGCGATCAGCCATTACACCGGTTATCATAATTTTTGGATGTTTGATATCAGTCATTACTGTATATTCACCTAAGTTATCCTTTAATATATTTTCGAACAATTCACTTGGATAGGGACGTGACCCGACAAAGCATTGTTCTTTCATGCGCAAATACAGGCCCATACACTGGCGCATTGTTTTACCACAGCCGAGACCAAGTGCTAAGATGCCGCCAGTGCTAGTGCCAGCTATCCAATCGAACATATGCGCAATGGGAGTTTGTGAGAGCTTTTCGATTTCGAGTAACATTTGGACAAGCACAAGGCCGCGGATACCGCCGCCATCCAGGCACAATAAACGTCCGCGGCCATAAGGTTTTTCGCTTTTATTGCTAGATTCGCTGCCGATTGAAGCTGGTGTAGTTGGAGTTGGAGCTGCGCTGGCATCTCCACTACCCTCTCCTTCAAGGCTGTTGCTAGGCGATACTAAAATATACAAAGCACAATTTAAGCTTACTAGTATTAAATACTATACATTTGAATGCTACCTTTTTTGCCGTCGTTATTTACTTTGGTGGTAAACATTCCGAGCAACGCATCCATTATACTTTGGCCCTTTTGTTCTTTTTCAGTATCAATGATAACTGTAGGCCTGCCAGTAATGAAAGATCGTTTTATTGATCGAAAATCGTAATTTGGTTGGCATTTAAAACTTACTCCGGTGTCAATGCGCTACCATTAGAGGATGAACCAAAGAGACCATCCATTGCTTGGCGGCTAGTTGATGCCAGCATACTTTCAATATGCTGACGTTGCTCGACTGGTTCTGGGGACTCAGGTGGTATACCATTGTAGGTACCTTTAGCGTTACAACCAGCTGGGCATTTTGTACTCGATCCTGGACATCTAAAAGGAAATGGGTATTGATGATAGTTATACAAAATAGGTAGCAATGTAAGAAAATTTGGCTTCTTCATCTAAGCATAACAAATCATAACAAAATAAAATTTTCTCACCGTTTAGCCCCAACTGAATGCAAAATATAGAGCATTTCACTTTCTTTACCGCCGTTTGAATCACTACCAACCATGTGTCGCGGTGTTTTCCCATCCTTATTTTTTAAATTAATATCGCAACCGAAAACCACTAGGCATTGCACGATAGGTACCAATTTCTTTTCGATGGCAATGTGTAAAGCGGTGTTTCCATCTTTATCGAATACATCAATATCAGCATCATGAGCTAGGAGTGTAACAACACATTCAAAACGGTTTCGACCAATCTGTGGATTAGAAGTTGTAACTAGCGTTTTGTGTTTTATTTAATCATGCAAATTAAAAAAAGAAGTTTTACCATCACATGTAAGGCGGTGCGTCCGTCAAAATTTGTTGCATTGACATCGCATCCCTGCTTAATGAGCGCATGTAATGTCTCACGAGAAGAAGACCAATGCAACGGAGTGCCGCCGAATTTCATATCCTTAGTGTATAGCTTATTTGCATTGGTTTTGAGAAATTCAGCAACCGAAGTAGGTGTACTAGTCTTGTATATTTTGCTCATATTCTTGGCATTTAAGTTAACATCTGCGCCAGCTAATAGTAAAGCTTTTACGCATTCGGGTTTATCCGACAAACAGGCTAAATGTAATGGCGGGAAACCATCCGAATTGATGTGATTGAGGTTTTCTGTACTTTTTGCGGTCAACAACTGGAGCGAACAAAAAATAAGGAATATCAACCCTTCAATCTAATATTACAAAATGTATTAACGGGTATGCATTTAATTATATTTTTATTGACATATTTTAAGAAGGTATTTTTTTTAATATAAATCACAAGAACGATTATCATTCTTGTATAAATCAGATAACACAAGCTGGCCTTATTAAAGTATGTATTCACATTTCTTAATAATTATACTCCATTTTTTTCATTCATATAAATTATCCCGTGTAGCTTCATTCCATAGCCAAACAAAACTTATTCTAACACGACTATGAGTGACTTAAATTTTAAATTAAAATTTCGTTTTAAGTCGAAGGTCTTTTTAACGCCCGACTATGGCTCCGGCCTATAAATCTAAGGCAAAGATGAATTGGTAAAAAAAAATCTTGAAATAACAGCCTGAATTTTACCTGGTTTTGCGGAGGTTAAAACAGTAGGTTTTTTGTACTTACGTTTATGATTTCTTTGTTTGTACTAGCGGCATAATGAAATACGGAGTTACTATTGTTATCCAGATGTTCCATTTTACAAAGCGGCAGCAACGTCTTAACCATTTCATTGTTTCCGCTTTTTATGGCAAGCTAAATATATACAAATACGTAACGTTAAAAATATTACATTATCTTTATTCGATTATGCAAAAACTTATACCTGAAATGGCGACATCAGATGCACATGATCCGCATAATCGATGAATTCCAATACTTTCGGATTACTTACGTAATCAACGAGATTGAAATAGGCAACCAAGTGTGCCAATGACCAGGAGGGATTTTCTGCCAACGCATCACATACTTTTTGTAGCCCGTTAACGTTGTAAAACTGTAGGGAGATACGATTTTAATTAAATAGAAAAATAAAATAGCGGATTATTAAGAGTCGAATTAAAAAAGCGAAATCTTTTATTAATTCAGTTATATGCTTTCATATTCTTCTTTAAGTTTAAATTAAGAAAAATACTTCAATTTTATTACTGCACAGTATGGATAATATTACCTCCTTTACGATAGTAACGAACACAGGCAAGCGATGTACGAAGGCGTTGAACCTATCCTCGGCGTCCTGTTGAAGGGGTGAACGATATAAGCTGAAGCATGTGTTTGCGGGATCATTGACATGACGTTGGAGCACAATTTCATAGCCCGCCTTCTTATCTACAGAATTGAATGGTGGCGAGTACAGTACCATACCTTCATCCCGTCCTATTACCAGCAAGCTTCCCAATGATTCGCCTTTGATTTCAAGAACTTTGTTAGGTGGTGTATCCCCTCCCAAAAGGCGCTGGAGAACTATGTAATGGAAAAATTAAAAATAAGGAACATTTAAAAAAACATAAGTAAGGCAGATTCTTAGCCAGGTTAAATTGTGATATGTTAAATTTAGTTTATCAAAAACCATAGAAAAAAGCGTTTCGTTGCTTTAGCTACAATTCACCCTACAAAAAAATTAGTTTTCATTTTATTTCTATTTTTATTTTTTGGTAAATGCAAAGTTAAAAATTGTCGAAATCAATTAATGAAAAAATTAAGAGAGGCATTCAGTTTCCAAGTTAGTTTTTGTTGAGTTTTGCTCGGAAACAAATTCAACCGAAATTTTTTCATCCATCCGCAGTGAATATACATAAGCGAAAGGTGAACGACTTCGGGCGAAAATTAAACTCAAAACAAAGCTGAATATTTTTAATCACAACCATTCCAAAAAGTCAGTTTGAAAACAGTTAAAAAAAGCTTGTTATCAGTTTTTGCGTGGTGAAATATACAGAGTTTGTGGAATGTAAACGAATTAAAATATATATATATATATGTATGTAACTTCCATGCATTTCAAAACTAAAACTAACCGGATCCAAATATTTCTAACATATTTCACTGACTTGAAGTAACCAGCAGAGGTTAATGAAGGAATATGCAGAACGAACTCTACAGATTGTTTCTTTTCTACATACATACAAGAGTATTCCCAATAAACTGAATTGAAAACTTATCAAGAGCGGTACTATTTATATATATGTATTTACTTATACATATGTATACATATATGTATGTATGCACATGTACATTTTTGTTTTAACACTTGCACTTCACTACGTCGTTTTGGTAAATATGAGACCACGTGTGTCGAGTGATTATTATTTGTTTGGAAAATGATGAACAGATTTTAAATATACATACCCAAAAGATAATTTAGGTAGGCCTTCTTAAGTGAACCCATTCTAAAAGGTTTATCCAAGAAGGGCTGGAAAAATTGCTTCTCTGCTTGCCTTCTAGGAGGACTTTTCCTATTTACAATTGACGCGAATTTATAAGTTCAGATTATTTAGCAATACAAACGAATTTTGATTTTGTATTATATAATGTATTTTAAGTTGGAATAAACCGAATTTGGTATGAACGTTAAACAAATATATCTAAGAAGTACAATTTTTATTAATTAAAAAAGCAGCTTTAGGAAAACTTCTCCAAAGGGCCTTCTGAAGTTCGTCCAAAAAAGCCCTTCCGGAAGCCCTACTATAGGTAGCGAAAGCAGGAGACTTTCAATTCGTGCCCCGCCATACAAAAAAGAAAGGAGGAAGGAATGCAAAGTTGAAGGTCTATTGTCTCTCAGGAAGGCCTTTTGGAAGGGCTTTTAAGTCTTGAATTTATCTACTGGGTATCTGAATGTGCATTAATACTCATGTATTAAAATTCGTATAATAAATGAAATGGATGAAATGAGAATTGAGTATATGAAGCCATAGAGAAGTAAATAAGATTAATACTTAAATTCTTATCAAAGAAATTGTATTTATTTATTTCTGAATACGTTCGTTCTTCTGTATTTCAATTAAGAGATTCATTTGATATTTTAAATTGATGCAATAGTTTAAGTCATACATTTTGTGTGAATTCTTTACATACTACTTGCTACTAAAAAGAGGAATCACTTAACTAAAGAACGAGCAACAGATGATCTTATTCCATAGATTAACAATAAAAATAATTACTTTTCGCGTTTTTTGTTGAACAATAAAGCAAATACTTTCAATAGAATATTCCATGTTTATATCAACCTGAATTTATATACATAGCTAGTTATTAGAGCCTGTTTTTGCAATGTTCAGTATGTTTGTAAATTATCTTTGGGTATGTACTCCTATGTGATATGATGCAAGCCGGTTAAGGGAAAATCAGCGTTTTATTACCTAAATATTCCAATAATCAAAAAATTAAATGTGTTTGATTGCATTTCTTAGGTATTACAAGTAATTAATTAATTACTTGTTTTTTCTTTCTAATCACTAATTTCATATATGTATCTACGTACCTATGTATGTATGTGTGCAAATACATATGTACAAGTATAATCATCGGAAGAGGATCATTTTACAACATTTTGAAAGCAAATATTTTTTCGCCCCGATTTCAATACCGAATATTAATATCAGGAGTTAACGCAACAGGTGTTTGTGGAATTTGTCCTTTAAGTTTATGTACTCCAAATACATTTGCATGCACTACGATTTCGGTTACGTATACCCGATGCTGTGGGGAAAGAAATTCGATTCGCAACCCTTTGTAAGTCTTACATTTTCTATGAACAAATGTAATATATGTATATTAATTACAACACTTTACTAAAATAATTAAGCTAAGAGAGCAAAAATAAATTTTCATGTCCAAAGGTTCAAATCTTGATAAGCACTAAAAGCAAATATACAATTTACTGCCTAATTAGAAATAATATATCTGTGGTCATAAGCAATAACCGCCTAAGTCGACTTAAGAAATAATTGAGTTATATATGCTATCGTATTCTGCAACTGCTATTCCATGTGTATATGAAGTCCCTATCTTTCCATCTAGGCTATTTAAAAAGTTATAGACGAATATATTTTGGTTTCTCCATAAGGTTAACATTTCAATCCAAATGTTTAAAGCGTTTTTTCTCGAATTCAGGTTTTTCGACTTACATTTACACATTTCACATAGAAGTAATTATTATGAATCAGAGCTCTTTCTTTTTTTCATAGAAAGATAATTAGTAAATCCAACTATGCAAGTACATGCATATGTAAGTAAAATATGTACGTGAATCGGAAATTAAGTGAAGCTGCATGACGTGTTGGCTCTGACTCAAATGGTATCAACAACAGACGCACCAGCTTTGTGTTTAGTACACCGAGTAAGTAGTATGCAAGTAACCCTGTAGGCAAATCTTTTCATAAAGTCGCTAAAACGTTAAAAATTTAAAACGATCAAATAAATATGTAATTGCAAATTTTCTAACTCATTGTAACTACGCCAAAGTGTTTTCAAACTGTTGGAAATATATAACGTCGCGTTTCTGAGTTAACCACGTAACTAATTTTTTGGGAAAACTGATATAACCACTTATAACAAAAGTTTCAGCGTCACACAATTTTAAAATAAAACAATAACCTACTATCGGTGCTCACTATGAAGTAAAGAAGCATTTGCTCTATCCTAGTGGAAGAAAATAAGAATTTTTTCTTACATTCTCTAGAATGACTCTATTGCGAAGTTAATGCATAAAAGGGACGATAATAAGCTGCGGATCCCCTAAAACACATTTAATTGTTATATTACATTGACTAATTTTACGACTTTAAGACTTTACGATGCTTACGACGTCTTGAGAATCCCTTAATTATTGTCTCTACAAACGCAGATTGATATTACAGTATTATTTCATAGTACGACTGATAGTATTATTTCAAAATCTATTTTTGATTCATTGTGAAAACTTTTTAAAATAGCTAATGAGTGAAGTTCCGAGGTGGATGATTATCATATCAATGTGTTCGTAAGTGACGAAGGGTCATTTACATATGGACGTTAAAACGAATATGTATGAGAATGTTCAAGAATGCGGAATAAGTGTAAGACTTTTATAGATGCATATGTATGTAGTTCTATATACATAAGCCGGTAGTTATTTTTTTATTGAGTAATGGCACGGTAAAAAAAAATCATTTATAAAAACTAAGTTATCATATGAGTAGTCCACTTGCAAACAGCGTTATGTCATTTTATAATAGTAAGACATAAATAAAAAAAAACGTCTACAACAACAAGTAAAATTCAAATTTCATTCATTTTCATCAGCCTAATAACTTTAAAAGACAAAATCGCAGTATGGTAGTTTTTGCAAAGTTTATGTATGAAAAATTAATATAGCGTGTTTTGAAACAGTAACTTTTACATAGCTAGCTTTTTTTAGCTTTTCGCGTTTTCTCTTCCATGAACATTGGTCGACTTTTTTTTACGACGTCTTCCACTAGGCACCGAAGGTACCACGTTTTCTTGCAGTTTTCTAAGTTCATCACAAGATGGACCACTTTTAACTTGTATAAATACGTACAATAAATATTAAAGCGACTTTTGAAAGTGTATATATACTTACAGTTAGTATTATAGCGACTTTAGCTAGAGTAGGTAACATTTGATGCTATTTTTTTCAGAATATATAAGGATTTTGCAATGTATTATTAGTGGACATGAAACTACTTTAAATACTGGTACGTTAACCACCAAAAACCAAAAATCGAAAAAATTTTACATAGAGCACTTTGCAAGTGGACTACTCATATGTTTTTATGATTACATCCTTTTATAGAAATATAAATACATAAATATGTATGCATAGATTCGTAAACATATATCAGATAAATCAATAATTTGCAATAGTTTTTCTAGCAAAAGTTGTAATAAAACCTCATCAAATGAGAGGTTTTGTCGAAGATACCACTGGGTTTAACTGAAGTCGAAAAAAGTTGAATTAATAAATAACTAATATGTATATAAACCAATATGAAAAATACTTATTTTTATTATTAGTACTGCTGCTAACCATTAAACATTTTGCACGACTTTGTTTACGCCACTTATGTTTCGAAATCCTTTACTCCTTCACTGGTCAAACCGCCAGCTTTCCCGACACATAGACTTTTCGCTCTTATTGTTTCACAAACTTTAGAACAATATAGATATACTTATATATTTTTTCTTATCCTCGTTTATGTAAACAACTGCGTTTTCTCCACCGAGCACAAATTGCAATTTGTTTAAAAAATTTTGTACCAATAATCAGCTGCTAAACTCGGGGTTGCTGCGCTCTCGGATTTCCCAAAAATCCTGCTAAGGAAATTCACAAAAGTAGTGCCATGTTCAATCATGTACATTAGTATGTGCAGGTTTCGAAGAAAAAACTTTTGAACATTTAATCTAATCTGACCAAAACCACAGTCCCGGTATAGTTCTGTCGCCACCAAAATAATTGTCTACATAAGAGTACGTGCTAAAATAATTTGGCAGATGTAGCCCGTAGCTCGTCGTTTTCAAGGTGTGTCAAGCAAAACAGCAAACCCAATCCAAGCGCAAGCCGTGCAGTTTGACGCATTCTTTTGCAACCGAGATACAAAAGAACGCTCGCATATGCGATGTAACAAGATAAACTCGGATATTTATCCGAGTTCAGCAATGTCGGTAAAAAAACACGCGAATTGAAGCGGAAAAACTGCGCTATTGTGAATTATTCTAATTTTAAATAAATATATATAAGGAAGAATAACACTTGCCAACAGATGCTACTTTGGGCTCGGTAGGAAATTAAAAAGTTCTCTACAACCAAAAATTATGATTTACAAGTCTCTATTCGTGTCCGTTGTTCTATATAGCGCAGAAATTTGGACGATGTCGAACAAAGATGAGAAGGCTTTGGGGGCTTTCGAGAGAACTATTCTACGCAAGATCTACGGCCCTGTTTTCGTGGACGACGGGTATCGGAGAAGGTGGACTGACGAACTGTATGAGCTCTTTAACGACATGGACATAGTTGGCGCATAAATATACAGCGATTGCGCTGGCTTGGACATGTTGTACGCATGGATGACGACGCCCCGGTGAAAAGATCCTTCGACTCCGCACCCATGGGTGGACAGCGAAAGCAAGGGCGCCCACGAACAAAATGGAAGGATCAAGTGTTGTGTCTGTTACTCGGGGTGAGCAACTCGCGCAAATACGCACAAGAGATAGGCAATTGGAGAAGCTCTTTGGTCTCGGCCCAAACCAACAAACGGTTGTGGTGCCAAATAAGAAGAAGAAGAATACGCGAGTAACTCTCAAAAGTACTTATTCCATTGGTTTTTGTATGTAAAGCCCATTAAATTAATCACATGTTCAAGGCGAATTTATACATATATACATATATATATATATATGTATTGTGGCGAATACTGCGGCAACGCGAAGCGAACTACGAGAAATAGGCAGAATGTTCGAGGGATGACGTAGATGTTCCACAAAGAGAAACGTCAAGTTGGATGAACACTGCGAACAGCGAGAGAAAGAAAATGAGCGATAAACTTCAGAACGTTCTAGAGTTGCCATAAGTGCGAGCGCAGGTATATAAGAGCCACGACACAGCGGAGTTGAGTTAGTGACGAGTTACAAGTCAGCAAGCTACAAGTAAAGTGAGCGGAGAAGTGAGTTGCGAATAAGCAAGCTATAAGTTTAAGGGCCGGTTACTCAATGTCTGGTTAACTCTAATCTGCGGTTAAACATAGTTATCGACGTTACCGACTCCATGTTGTATGCATGGAGTCGAACACGTCGATAAAGATGTTTAACCGCAGATTAGTGATAACCAGACATTGAACAACCGGCCCTAATAGGCTGTTTTTGCTTACGCGTAAAAGCACATTTAGCGCATTTAGCTCTAAATGCTACTCTAAATGTACATTTATCCATACAAAATTCGTCACCTAAATGCAACTCCATTTTTGCATTAAGAATCTAAATGCTAAAAGCAACCCTGTGATCTTCCAAAATTTCCACGATTCAAACATGGTTTAAAGAGAAAAAGTGGCCACATTGCTTTTTCGAGTATACAGTTGCTAGCTGCGTTTCAGTGATCGCCGATCGAGATTTCTTTTATTTTGCATTACATATTTGGATAAAGTAAAGTTAAGCAAATTCAACATCGATTTGATGCTGATAGAAATCTGGATCAATTTGTGATCAACTTTGTTTGGTTTGTTTTCTAATTAAGTGAGGAAATTTTAATTGACAGCACCGACAAATGAATATATACACAAACAAATGTTCGGTTATGGTTAAAACAATTCAAGTTTTTGTATTGAATTTTTGGTTTAAAATTTATTTTTTCCTTTCCAGTAGGGTTTTTGCACATTATCTTCTGCGTGAGAATTGATCGTAATATATACCCATCTAAATAAGAGACTGGAACACGGCTGTTTGTCAAAAGCATTCGATTTCGAACTCGCGTAAATGTACATTTGCTAAATGCTATAGCATGAAGCGAAGCGCACATTAGCGCGATTCCATCGTTGCGAATACGTTGCGAATTCGGCTGTTAACTTCGAATCCGCAAACGTGCGCACACTTGAGCGATTTTTTCGCGTCGATTTCCGATGTACAATTCACTCAATTTTCCCTTTATTTCGTGTATTTTCGCACTCGGCGTGCCCAAATCGTACAAAATACTATTATTACGAACGTTTTTATTAGTTTTTGTAACTACATTACACGTTTTTTTTTCTTTGCCTTTATTGCTGTGACACCTTTCTTCTTCTTCTTTGACGCCTTCAAAACGCTGCAAGCCGCAAGCCGCAACCTTCTCGCATGCCCCAAAACCCCATCCAGCTAACGCCCTTGTCCCTATGAACAAACCCAGTTGGAGTCGCGCACGTCCTGGGTCTCTCGTTAGTTGAGGTTAGTGGTGAGTGGGGTTAAGTGGGGTTAAGTGGGTTAGTGAAAAGGTGGTTGGAGCTCACAAGACCACATTATCCACCCCTTAAAGGCCCATCTACATGGAACTTTTGGGCTGCATTTGCTTTTGCCTCGTTTTGACAGCACTGCGAGTAATACTATTGCTTGCTACAATGAACGCTTAGTAGCGAATGCTTTGACCACTAAATTAATATACTAAAAACAGAGAAATTAATATTTCGTATCAACAATTGCATTGAAAACTATGTTTCTTGTTGTTATTATTGTTGTTGTAGCGGCTTACATATCCCTGCTTAAATCGGCTTGTCCCTCAATCGTTGTCGTCAAGCTCAACTAATGGGAGATCCAGAGAGCATTTGTGCCTCTCGAGGTGAGGGAGAGGGGGTCAGTTGAGTGGGGCTTAGGGGGCGTGCGAAGATATGTTGTGAGTCATAGTCAAAAAATCGTCTGTCGCCTGTCAAAAAAACGCCTCATGTAAAGGCAGCTTAAGGTATGTAACCATGATTCAATAATAGCTCTGATCCAGTACTCCATGAACTTACAGGCTTTTACACGAACTTGCAGGAAGTTACAGGAAAAATGATCCCGTACTCCAAATTCCTCCAAAATCCTGTAAATGAGAGCGATTTTTGGAGAGTTGTGTAGAGAATGAAGTTGCAAGATTTTACCCGAACTTTTTCTTCTGGTAAAATCATGAAAAGTGTCAAGCGATCTTTGGTTGACGTTTTTACAGGAAAAATGTTTTTTTTTGTTCCCGTACTTTTTGTTGTTACTCACTTTTTACTCTCACTTCAGAGAGTAATTTTGCTGTTTGACTGTTTTACAGGATTTTTCACGAAAAGTATTTGATCAGAGCTTATACAAGGTTCGATAAACTGACAGTTGTCTCTCTCGCACCGCTCCCTTACCGGCCGTCTTCACATGCTTGAAAATCTCGCTTGCGTTCTGCTTTCTTCTCTCGCAAGCGAGATAGAGTTTTGTTGACTGGGCATTTGACAGCATACTTTTTCATTTGTAAAATGTCGCCAAACAAGAAGGTTCAAGCCTTGCAGGCTCTTAAAAGTTTGAGAAAATTAGAAAATCTGCATAAAGAGATGTATACTATTTTCAAGTGAAAAATGGTTGCCTCTAAATTTGTATTTGCCTCCAAAATAAACGATGTTGCTACTCTGAAGAATTCTGCGAAATGAGAACATAGCTGTCAAACAACAAAAATGACAGTTGAAAGCGAGCGAAAGCTCGCATACCGCTCGAAAGAGCATGCTTCGTACTTTTTGCGGTCTACACGTGCGGTTTTTTTCCGGATTTTCCAGCACGTGCAGACGGTCGGTTAGCAGTGGCACCGTGTTGCTTCTTCACAAATTTACTTGGAAAAGTGTAGCTTTGTTGTGAAATAGAAGATAAGCTTTTGTGCAATATAATATATTTGTATATACATATGAAACATATTTAACTGATAAAAACATAAATTGTTTTTAAATTGGATGGTTACATCAATCTCATAGCAGTTTTATTTTAATTTTGAGCAGTTTTTGTTCAGCTAAGTAGCACATAAATTACGTAATTCACGTAGATATATCAATATTACTGTCAATATTTCGTTTAAAATGCCAGATTTCCTGCAAATACATTCGAATTTACAAAAGGAATTTCACTACTAATTGCTTACTTTGCGTACTTTTCTACTACCATTTTCGCACCAAGAGATTTCATTCTCCCCTTTCTTCGTCCTTCGTAAAAGCAATCTTTTGTGAGGGAGTGTCAAACCGCGACTGTCAATAATTATCTAACCTTGTATTAGTTGCGTTCCCTAACTCGCAAGAATTTACAGGAATTTACCAGAAAGCGTTCCCGTGCTCGGTTCACTGGCTTATTTTGCTTTTTGACAGTTTTCAGGTTTTAATCCAGAAAAGTTCGGGAACGCAACTATTATTAAATCATGGTACGTAACAAATGCGTGGTGTGCAAACATGGTATAAAATATTAACCCAATGCAACCTTGCATTATCGAAAGTGATTACTTCGTTCATTTTTCTTCTGAAGCTTATCGAAATTAGTCGTCAGATATCGTCACCAACTTTCATTGTGCTAAGAATTTTACAAAATTTCGGAAATTTCAATATAAAAATTATATTTGATACTCGAAGAAAAGTGTAAAATTTCTAAAAGAAGAAACTTTCAATATAAATTCACTGTGCTTTAAAGTTGCCTTTGAATTGTATGTTCAACAAAAGAAAAATAATCGACTTTCCAAGTCAGTCAAATTGTGCAAATAAAGTAATCTGAAGAAAGGAAAACGAAAAGGTTGAGAACGACGAATTAAAAAGTATTGGTTGTGTACTGGTAAGAAAAAATTTATATTAAGCCCCTTCTATAAGCAAGTGCATTTATATTTTCAATAAATGTGTTCTTTTCTAATTTATTGGCGTATATCTACGATCTATTGCAGTCGTATCTACATGCATACATTAAGTATGTACTATGTATACATATGTATACATATAAGTATGTTCATTTGGTGTGGTTAGGTTTTCAACATTGGAAAACCTTATTTGTGCAACCATCGCAATTCCAATAATGTGATACGCGTTTGTAGATGTAGAAGTATACGACGAAAGAGCGTAAATTAACAAAACGTATCACCAATCCATTGGAATAAATAGAATTCCATATGGAGCATTGGGTGCGATTAAAGTACATTTCCTTACAAGTAAATTTAAATATTTATTTTTAAATATGTAAATATAAATAGTCTATCTTATATTAAAAAACAGTGATGTAGGCAATACAGGAAAACGCGATGGCTACGACTTTATTGGATTTATAAGGATTTCAACGTTCTGCTGGCATTAGTTTTTTGAAAATCCATCTCTGGCTAAAATTGTGGGAAAAGGTCAAATAGAAAATACTAATATCTTATTCAAAAACAGAAAAAAAACCCTCCTTCACTGTGTTAATTGCTTTACGTATGGTTTATGAATGCATAGATGCCCTTCGGAGATTTCTTATATCAGCAAATTAGCATTGGTGAAACTCTTTCCTTTCTGTAGGTTATCATATCACTCCCAAGGTGTGTTAAGTAGAAATATCGCACACCGTCTTCAAAAAAGTCACAACTCAAAATAATACGTTTGTCAGAAAACGCGAAAAACTATTCCTTAGCACATGATAATTATAAGGGCAAGGGCGACTTTACCTTATGTTTTTTTTTTAATTACAACAAAAATTTGCTCCAGCTTTTGCTAAAAGGTAAATAAAAGCTCTGTGTACATTTTTAGTGCTTAATTTCAAAAGTACTAAGTTTTGAGCTGTGACTTTTGAAGACGGTGTGCGATATGTTTAATTACGTTTTCCAGAATTAGGTACTTGTCTGGTCCTATATTAATTATTACTTTTTTTTTATAAAAGTGCAGCTCATTATCTAACAAAAACCATATAAATTCATATTTCAAACTTTGTGCAAAAATTATTAAAATTCTGCAAAGTTGCTTGCATCTAAATTCTCAACTTTTTTGTATAATTTCTTTTTGAGTATGCAGTTTTATAGCCCATTAAATTTTACTATGATAAAAAGTGTAATTTTTAATATAATAATAATAAAAGATTGGCGCTTACACATATGTTAGTGTTCGGCCGAGCTTCTCCTCCGATTTGTGGCGTGCGCCTTGATGTGTAAGTTTTAAGTTGCTAAAAAATCGAGTTGGTGCTGGCCATTTTTTTCACGCCATGCCTTCCATACAAAGTATGTTCGACAATTTTTTTGTATGAAAAAAAGCGTACAGTTAGAATAAAAATCTATCAAAATTAAAGCATTTCCTAGCAACTTAAAACTCGCAGTTTATTATGCTTGACTATAATGGGCTATAAAACTGCATATCGATGGCTGAGTGTAAGATCGACCTATCTCGGCCGCCAGTTCGAAAACGCCCTCTCAGAAAATGTTTCAACATCGCCCTATTTCAGAATTTGGTTAAAGAAAGCCCCATTTTAGAATTTAATTGAAAAACGCTCTACCTCAGAATTCGTTTCAAAAACGCCCTATCAGCACATTTTTAGTGTATTTTCGTTTGATATAGGGCGTTTTTGGCGAACTCTGAGAAATGGCGTTCTTCAACCAAATTCTGAGATAGGGTGTTTTTCAATAAATTCTAAAATATGGCGAGTTCAGTCAAATTCGGAAGTAGGGCGTTTTCGAACTGCCTGGCGGAATAGATCGATCTTCCATTCAGTATCGATAACTCAAAAAAAAATTTAAAATTTAGTTGCAATTTTGGAGAATTTTTATAATTTTAGGAGAAAGTTTGAAATATATACTTTTATACTTTTACAAAAAATAATTAATATTAAATAAACAAAATATATATAGCCAAAACTGGTCTATTATTTTGGCCATGGGCGTATATTGTTGATCATTGTGCCGAAACGGTTGCCCCGAAATAATGTTTTTGCAGTTACCTATAGCGAAAAATATCCAGACGCCTAATTATTGAATTTGTTCATAAAATGTGCAATTTTCGAATTGCCTTGTAGAAACTAGCTCAAGCCAAGCTTTATGCCGTTAAATTTCGTTCTTAAGTAAATTCACATACAGTGTCGGACATGACATTTTGGAACAAAAAAATCAATTAAATTTTGTACTAATTGCAAACTCTTTTTTTTCAATAGTTCTAAATTCCTTTAATTATACAGTTTTATATGGTATATTCACAACGGTGTCGTAAGTGTCGTATTGTTGTATGTCGTAAACGTTAAACGCCTAAAAAATATATTAGGGGTTTGCAAAGTACCATCAAAGACATATTACGAATTTTCCAGGTGTTAAAAAATAGTTGGTTGTGGTTTTAAGCAGGGTTGTTGCGAATATTCGCATTCGCATTCGCAACTGCGGAGCTTCCGCATTAATTTTAACATTCGCATTCGCTTTCGCATTCGCAATAATCAATGCGGAGCTTTTGCGAATGCGAATATTTTGCAAGTGGACCGATAAAACGTATGTATGGCAAAAAAAATTACACATTGTAGCCAATATTTTTGCCTGTGGTCGTAGGAGTATTTGTGTAACAAAACTGGTCAAATGTCATATGTATCAACTTTGATAAAAATGTCTTTAAAATATTATTTCTTAAGCTATATAAGCGAGCTATCAATGGGCAGCCATAAAAGTTCTCACTTCTACTTGACCTTTGACGTACGTCAAAGAGAACATAGTCCTTTTAATAATATATTTTTTCTGTGCTTTAAATATCTACTTTGGGTTCTTTCTTTATTATGATTTTTTTGGACCAATCTTAAAAAAAAACTACACAAAAGAAGAAAGTGTACACTGTAATTCTTAACAAAATTTTCGTGATTTGCTTTTGATGTTATAGGCGGCATACACGGTGCGTCTGACTCGTGAGTGGATGTGTTTGTGAAAATAAATATGTGTTAGTTACACCAACATGACTCCGGGCATGACTCTGAATGATTCAACTGTGTGTAGTCGAAGGCGAGTCAACACGTACACAAATGATTCGCGAGTCGGACGTACCGCGTATGCCACCTATTACATTTATTCGTTTGAATAATTTCAAATGGGGCTCTTTGGGGAATTTATTTTTAGCAAAATTTAAAAAACAGTAGTTTTGTTTACTTGTTGGATAATATTTTTTTCATAGGGATATGCATTGGATCCTTGGCTAAAAACTTCTGTGGTAAACTGTCTCTTTTTTGCTATTTAAAGTCAAAGAGTAAAAGCATAAACAGACGGCAGCGTTGATCTGGATCAACTCGGGAATTAACTGCACAGGATTAAGTCCGAGTTAGCTTTTAAGCTTTTAGCTCCTTCAATAGGGATTTCCAGTAGAAATGATCAACGTCTAGCTGCAAAGAGAATCGATGCTCAAATAATTAAAAAGCTATAGGTCTGACCTTTAATTAGATAAGAATTACGAAACTATCTGTTATTCAAATGATTATAAGAAAACGGGGTGCTTAAAAAAAAATAACAATATTCTGATCCGATTCGGCTGGCAGCCACGACTTTGAAAACAGAATTTAGTTCAAAAATAATAATCTATTTTCCATATCCATCTATTTAGCTCGCTATAAGCACAAATTTTTCACAGCAGTCGCAGAAGAAAGTATTACAAATGAATTACAAAAACTAAAATCGAAAAGTGCTCTAAAGTTACAGGTTCTCCAAATTCTGAAACAACATGACATATGTATCTGGTTTGGCTTGTAAGCGCTGTTTAAACAACGATCTCGCCATTATGCTAGATTCTAATTGTTTTTTAAAAATACTTGACATCCGCATTCGCATTCGCATCCGCGGATGTTAGCTGTTAGATATTCGCATCCGCATTCGCATCCGCGGATGTCTAAAATTCCACATCCGCAACATCCCTGGTATTAAGTTCTTTAAGCATCTATTTATGCTTTTAAAGTTTACGACATACAAATACGACAATAGTCCCTTAAATTTTAGTATACTTATGTGAAAAGTTAAAGTGTATTAAAAGTATCGTAGATTTTTTAGAAATTTTTGTTCCTACGCATACAAATATATTGTACTTATTCGTTATACGGAAGAAAACTACAATAAATCTGAAAATTCAACGGTAAGTCCTAAACACTTGAAAATGTCATATTAGCTTCGTTTCCTTGCAAACGAGCGGCAAAAGAATGCTCAACTCGTGTAAAATTTCCTTTTACCTACTTAAGCAACCCTGTTGGTATCTGGCAAGAAAAATATGATTAGTTTAATGGGATTTATAACAAAAACTAATGAAAATGCGTAATATTTCGAACCAAAAAAAATTGTACATTGAATATCTCTGCCGTTAGTTAAGCTATTTAGGTAAAACTAAAAAAAATTAAAATACAGATAGGTATATACTTCGGTTTCATGCCAGCTATAAAGATTTATCTCAAAAACTACGCTTTGCTCTGAAACTTAAAGAATACAAAGAACCTCCATTTTTAGAAACAAAAAAACAATTTGTACACTAAGTTCAAAATGATAAAAAGTTATCTATTCAATACAAATTAGTATTAAGTTTAGCAACCTTCGGTTTCTGGCATGATTCTAATGCTGGATTTCCACTAGGCATTGAAATGACAAAAAATGTATGCCATTTAAAATAATGCCATGTGGAAATGAACTTAGTGACTATTGTTTTAATGTAATGACACGATTATTTTTTAATGCCCGACTTCGTCATTTGTCATTTTTGCCATTTAATGCATAGTGGAAATCCAGCATACGCCTTCTATTCATAGAGTGAACTAACTTCTATTTATAGAGCGAGTAAATTTTTCTCACTGGCTTTAAAACTACCCAGCGGCGAACTGCTAAATGG